GTGATCTCCCGGAGTTGGTGGAAGTGGTTGAGATGGCCGAGTTGCGCCTCGGATCCGAGTGGTAGTCTAAAACGGCCGATATGCGCTTGTTTTCTGCAGTGGCAGGAGGGAAGTCATGTCCATTCAAGGCATCAGGTGGATCTGAGGATGTCATTTGCTTCTCGGATGACAATGCTATGTGGTCATAGCGTGTTTGACGTGACGATTTATGAACGATATTAAGGCGGTTGCTAGCGTCGTGAAGGGGCTGCCTCTTCGGTTGCGAACGATCCTTAATAGTGTCCTTCTCCATAAGCTTTTCAGAAGAGTGTCATTAGAGAGGATATTTAAGTAGCTTCTATTAAATAATGTAAGTGGTCAATGCTCAGTATAAACAACAGCTCGAGAGTGGAGATTGCGGAGAAAACGAAAAGTGAGGAACAAGGAATGCCTTTGGGATAGCTGTTACAGAGAGTCAGGAAACCCGATCTGAGCTTTGATGATCAACTTCTTGAACGAAATGTAGGATCTTTTGAAATGAAGGAGGCGTCAAACACACCATAACCTTTTGTAGTTGGTTGTATCAGGGATGAAGACCGGACAGATACAGAATGTATTTGACGCGAGACGCGTCTGATTAACTAAGTATTAGCCGCAGAGGTGGATTAAGATAATAACAAGAGGAGTGGGCTATAGGTAATGTGTTAGGTTACCTGATAGATGATAAGGAAACAACCACATATCAGTGACAAAATCCACAGTGTTAGGTAACCAGGAAATGGTACAGTGAGGGTGAAGCTAGCGCTGCACAACTGTTTTAGAACACGGCGTCTCCCAGGTACCCCTTTAACAACTCTTGAGATAAAAAGGCATTCTATCCCAGAATATCGTGCCAAATCACTGAAGGGAATTTCCTGAGAAAACCAGGGCACAGAGGGTGATACCATTATTATGTATCACTCTCACTTACATTCTAGAAGCATTCAATATATCATGAATGCAAAGAAAGTGCTAGCATATACAACATATTCTAGCAAGAAGGACGCAAAAAGCAGACAAGTATTTGGCCTTGTCATGGATGAAAGTGCGACAATAGCCGTCTCTTCATATCTTTGCTTGGGCTGGAGGCAGTCCTTTCGATGGTTACTTTTCCAGCAAGGAATACATGAGGCTGAAAGCCGAAGTGGATGGGAGAACCCATTTCCATGATTGCTAGTCAAAAAGCACATTAGGGTGGATATAAAGAAGCTAATCAACCAAGACAGTCTTGTCCCAGCTAGAGTGAAGTCAGCCATCAAGCGGCCGACGTTCCGATAAGAGAGGGACAGCGGATGAATGCCAAGACACGGTCTCGCGTTACATAATCCGGACTGACGAGTTGCCTTGTTAGCCGATGATATCATCACAACGCTTGTTTCAACATCAAAGCAACTTCAACACTGAGAGGTAAAGGGAGCGTGTGGCCAAGCAACGCAATCCGGATATGGTGCCGCCTGGATTAGACTGGCGTATAGACCAGAATTACTGGAGTTTGCTATTCCCTTGCCCAATGACTTTGTATCCAGTTTGCAACCCGGATCTAAACGGAGCTTTACAGCTGATTTAGCTTCCTGGAGCGGAGGTTTACTGGTTAAACCTGCTCCTGGGAGTTGCGTCAGCGGTTGCTGGAACCTGGAGCCCGGCTAACTTGGCTTCAATGATTGGAAATGATACGCCCGGTTATATCTCCCTCACATGCGAGTGCAAAACGATTTCTGTTTGAGAGTTCTCCAGCTCACCGCAACGGGCTCGATTTCGATCCGAAGCTCAATACGGTCTTTGATTCTGTCGACGGCTCCTTCGCAGTGTTATCTCGGATAGCCCGCAAAGATGAAGCTGGTTCTTTTGTTGTCTGCAGCTTACACTGCAGTAGGCTTCGTTATTCCTGGCCAGAGTTCTCTCGACCCTTTTATAGGATATAGTGCCAGCATCCCTAGCCCAGTTTCGGACGATAGCAGAGCCGAGGGGGGAATAGCATTCTCTACATCTTACACCGAGGAAATATTTAATAACATCGAAATTGCCTCTACGTTGGCACTTTACCAGCCGCAATCGGGCCGTCTGTCAAAGCCAGAGAAGAATGCTGTCGATGAGTTTCGTCATGACTACTTAGATGCTAACAGTCCCAACTTCTGTGGCCACCATGGAGACCCTGAGAAAACAACATACCAATTAATAAATTCAACGAAAAGAACTAAGCTTTTTGCAAAGTTGGTCTCCCAGTTTGATGATATTGTTGACCTCCTTAATTCCACAAAGGAAAATCACACAGTGCTTGTTCCAAGGAATAAGGCCTTGCAGAAGGCTATGAATCACCACCCGCCGAAAGAATATGTGAAGAAGTTTGTTCAATATCACATCTTAAAGGAACCGAAGACCGCAAGAGAGATATTCCACTCTCGGACGATCCGAACTCTGCTAGAGCAAAGTGAATTGGGAGATCATGACCAGCGAATCAGCACCCAATTTGGTGTCGGTGGCCTCACCCTCAATTATATCTCCCATATAGTCAAGCCTGACCTGGTTAGCCACTTGCACGCGTTGTTTTGTATTTGCGAGCTGATATGGGAGACTAGTGTGCCAAGAACGGTTTAGTACAAATCCTCGACCATATCCTCCTCCCACCATTCCAATCGTCTGATACATTGAGTCTCGTTCCTTCGGTTTTCAGCGCTTTGGACTTTGGACTATGGAAAACTGGTCTCTATGAGAAGTTGAATGATACCTCAAGCCACATGGGCGGCACGTTCTTTGCGCCAACCAACATTGCATTTCGCAAGCTTGGTCCCAGAGTCAACGCATTTCTTTTCAGCCGCTGGGGGGAGAAACACCTAAAGGCATTGCTTGAGTATCACATCGTTTTCGGGCATACGCTATATTCAGATGCTTATCATCAGCCAAAGAAGGACGAAGATAGTAAAACTATCCATGTGAGATATTCTTAAGGCCTAATCCTATACCCCATGCATATTAGATACGATGGCTCACAGTTTGCACTCAAGGTTGATTTGCCAACCCTCCTGGAAAACCATCGCTTGAGCATCGATATCGCACGCTTCTATCGCTTTGCAACCATGAAAATTAATGGCTTTATCTCGGTTGCTAGTTCGGACATCATTGCAAGGGATGGTGTAATTCATGTCCTGAACGACGTTTTGATCCCACCAAAACATCCCAATCATGACCGGTATCCTTACATTCCACGTCCTGGGGAAGATGATGATTCTCCTGTACCTACTGTCGAGGATATTATTGAAAGATTTAACCCTTACATCAGAGAAGATTAATTTGTTATTTGCCGGGCATATTTCGGGACACTTGGAAGGCGTTAAACTCGCGCACTTGGTTTTTGCCAGGGTGAGAAATAATGCTAATAAGGTGGATTGCATTTTGTAAACAATATGTATATATCACAACCCAATATGACTGATAGTTGAACAGAAACCAGCGATATACTGTGACCTATTCTGCAGCTTCACTACCAATGTCCTCCTTCGATTTTCACAACGTCAACATCCTCCACCTCATCTCCGAACCATCTCCCTTCTCCGCTGCCATCAGGCCCAATAAGAACATCATTCCCACTCATCTGTCGTTTCCTCATCCTCCCCGCCTCTTCGCCCTCCGTTTCGAAAGTCCAATCTTCAAGACCATAGCATCTTTTCCACTTCATCCCGTCTTCCCCATCCCGATACTCGTACCAAAACTGCACATTGATTATGCGGGATGGATCTCTTCATGCAGACGTTACTAATTTGATTGGTTGCCGAGCTAGGATGATGTGCGATCATGCACCGTGTATTCCAAAGGTCCTGCGCAGGCTTGACCTTTTTTTTTGAGCGGTTTCTTCGGTAAAAGGAGGTTTGATATCTGCCATCGCGCTCTGCTTGTTAGTGTTGGGGGGGTTAGCCCTTCCAAGTATTTCGATCAATGGACGAGCAAGCTACGGAGTAGAGGCTAAATCAAGGCTTAGTCATATCCAGAGGTACTAGGTGACTGCTCCGTCCAAAGCACCTGAGCATAATATGCCAACGAACTGGAAGCTTCTTGAGATTAGAGATGAGCGCCATAAGACAGTGCCCGGATGGCTCATTTGAAGCGACTTCAAGCCACTAAGAAAGTGTGGAAATGCTGAAATTTCCTTTTTTTTGGTATGTTATCTCGGAGCCATTGGATGGCCTTTGAAGAGGTATGCATCTTTGAATCTTCAAGTGACTCGGGAAATTGAGACATGACCAGCTGCAAGGCCCGGATGCTGGTTAAAAATCACATGCTCAATGAGCCGGTTCAACAAACCTGGCTCACATCAAACGGCGAGAGAAACCAGAAAGCTAAGTGAAAACGGTTATCCGTCGCCACTTTTCACTGCCAGGAGCAGCGAATTTGCATCTAGAAACATGACATGATACATTATTATTTGTCTTTCGAAATCTATTCAACGCAGTGACCTTCTCAGGAGAGGAACCAAAAAAAAAAAAAAAAAAAAAAAAAAAAAAAAAAAAAGAAAAAGGAAAGAAAGTACTTCGTAAGTAACAAAAAGAAAAGAAAAAGGAATCCAACGGCGTTGAGAATCCAATCAGTTTATTGTTTTTGCCGGCAAATTCTCGGATTTGTGCTGTGGTGACTCATCTCCACCAGAAAATCTCTACGACCCACCCAAAGAGAAATTTGCAGTGCTCAACGAAGTATGAATCACTCGTGTCATCAAATCCACACAACAACAGCATGTTGGCGCAGCGGAAGCGCGCCGGGCTCATAACCCGGAGGACCTTGGATCGAAACCAAGACATGCTACTTTGGCACTTCTTTTTTCATATTCTTTATCCTATGACCCCTGGCGGTTCCCTTTTTTCCCCGCCAAATCTCTACCCCGAGAGCCTCTGTTCGTAGTCAACGTTGCCGGGCTGGTAGAAGTTAGGTTTTCTTCCCGCAGTTTCTGTTCTTCATAGCAACTGTGCAATCCTGCGTTGATTCTCTTTATCTCGTATATGGTTTTTAATGGGAGGGACTATTTGGACATTATAGTCGACTATGAAGCCTCTCCGGAAGATTGTCCTTCACCATTCTTACCACTTCCTCCGCGATTCCCCAGCTAAGCTCATATCCCCGCCCCCCGGCCCCGTAAGCATGCACTACGGTCCGCTTTGGGGATGCAGTTTTCGGAAGTGTCTCGACTTCAAGTCGGAGACCTCCCTCTCGAGCTGGACGACGACCAACAATGTCCCGTATCACATCAAACTTCCCTTGAGCGTTTAATATGGCGGGATACAACTTGGCAGCTTTCTCGAGCAAAGTTTCTCGTATGCGTGCTGTCGGTACAGAGCTCCAATCGTTTGGCTGCTTGGTTCCGCCCACTATAGTGCCACCCTCTAAGGGACGAGGGATAAGAAAGCTCCATCCGTCAGCATCTTGTCGCGTTATAGTCTTATCGCACGTGTTCGCGACGAGGCAAGTTTGTCCTGCATGAGAAGTTATTCTTGTGACTCCTGAATCTCGCGTTTCAGTAGAGTTGAATATACCGCGGATAATAAAGCTATCCGGGTCGCCAAATCCCATCCCACTGCAATTAACAACCATAGCTACGTCATATCCATCGATCTCGAACGCCTCCTGCAAAGATGCCAACTCCATTCTCTTTATTTCGCCGCCATCAAGTCTATATCGTCGTAATAAGTGAGCTAGATATATTTCTGGATCAATGGTATATGTTTCATATCTGGCTCCAAAGTCAACCCCAGGGGGCTTTTCATCATCATTGAGCACACGAAATCCATCTAGCTGGGTATATTCAGGGGGTAACGCCTTGTATACTGGTGCAACTTCGCCCGAGATATATTCAATGCCTTCCATGAATTTGATGCCATATTCGGGATGCTCCGACGCAAGCTTCTTAAACCGATCGCATGTTATCTTGGCAAGACCGGCCTCATATTTTAATTGGGGAGTAGTTGCCGGGATAGGTCGATAATGAGCACCTGCTGCTGTGCTTGGATAAGACGGGTGCGGGCCATCGAATGAAAAGTAGGACGCTACAAGAAGTATCGGATATTTAGAGGAAGGGAGTGTTTTCAGCAAAGTGAGCGCCGAGGAGAGACCAAGAACTCCCGCTCTGCATGAATGTTAGTTGATTGCCCCCCCCAACGAATGGAACTGGGGCCTGACAAAAGACCGTAGCCTCACCCGACGACGACTATAGTTTTCCTTTCTTGCCTTGCCATTCCGTATGCTCGGCAATAGATTCGGTTCACCAGGCAGAGAGGAGGGAAACAAAATTTTAAACTATAATTGATCAACTATAACGAGAGATATTTGATGCGGTTCACAAACGGTTCATACAGCCGTATCAGCCAGGAGTGAGTTGACATACGTTCTACAGTAATTCCAGAGCGCTCAGTCAACTTGCGCCGATCCTCAGCAGCGGAGAGGGGGTAACGAGCAAACAGTGCAAACGAACTCTAACCGGCTCGGTTAAAAGTCAGCCTCAACGGCATCATGACTACGACGTACAGAGTACGCAACAAGATACCCATGAAACCAAACTAGGCTGGTGGGGCCTTTTAGGGCAATAAACCCTTTTCCCCTGTATGAAGCCCTCCTTTTGGTCGTAAGTGCTTGCGCCCTTACCGCACGCAAGGACCATCATGTCCCACCATTCCAATGACAAAGGGGAACGCGAATGCCCGAGATGTTGGCTACTATGTACTGTGGGTGACAAAATCACTAGCACTCTGCAATACAGCAGCTCCCTCCCCACGACTTGCGCTCTCACCCGGGGTCTGACTGTGCCATGAGCACTGATGTTCTACCAGCAGCCATCGTGTCATGCTCAGTCAGCATCACCACCCTATGTCAATCCCGGGTTGCCAAGGCATGTACTGATTGTTATAGTTAAAGCCTGCACCGAGAATCATGGGCTTTATATTGGCTTTACGTAGAGTTGATTCGGGAAGATAAGCCAGAATTGCTGATATCAGCCATTGAGGAGGCACCCAGATTGCCGATGTGCGCGAATGCTCCCTGTCCTTTCGAAGAATACCGCGAGACGTTGACCAATTTAATGGCCGAAACGAGACTTTGTTGGACTAATGGACTGTCTCCGTGGAAATGGTCTATTTATGTGGTCATGTCTGTTGAAGTCTTCCCGTCACTCAATTCGGGGTTCAACATCAGCTCCCATTGAGCATGGAGTTATCAAACATCCCAGCGGATATCCCCTCTGTCAGTATTAGCTTTTTCAAAGCTGTGAAATTATGCCTTCGATCCAAATATAGTGTCCTCACGTTCGCTGCCACGCTCTACATTAATTTAGGATTTGAACATATTTATCGCCGGCAATAGCGCAGTACTGCGATGACGCTATCAATTCTGATTCAACACTAAAGAATGAAAAGCTCCAGTAAGGTTAGTGGGCCATACACCTCTAGATGCCAGGAACCCGACTGGACAACTAAATATCATATCAAATCAACTTGTTGATCCTTGGCTACAAAACATGGGCCAGCCAATGTCAACCGTGACTGAGCTTAGCAGGAAATCCAAATGTCAAGTTGGAAGGTTTGCGGCGACTCGTCCGTATTACGGCACCTCTCATCAAGGAGCCGCTACGGGATATCCTCTTCTAGCCGGACTGTAGCAAGCGTTTTCCCGCATTGCTAACCCGCTCCCTATCAACCCAAAGGAGACTGCGCAGTATTCTAAACGGCGGTTAAATTTACATCTTTGGGAGAAGGCCCTCGATAGTCCGCCAGATATTCTCCGTACTCAGGTGGAAGATCTTGCGCTTTGATTGGAAGTCCGTTAACTATTGAAAGCAGTACCAACAGACCAAGACGGCTGAAGCTATGGGAACCACCTGCAGGCACATATGCATGACCACTCGCACAAGGAACAACCCTGTGATCAAATGAGGCTAAAGCTTAATTAGCGCTGCCAAGTAATTTTCCGGCCAACCCTGCGGCTGAAAATAAGCGCCGGGGATCATCTTGGGCCCAACCTTCTCCTAACCGCAAAGCGCCAAGTCCCAAAGCATCCCGAAAAGCAAAGAGGATCATCACGTTCTTCATCCTGGCACGATACTGAGGCTCGTTGATCGAATCATATGCACCAATTGTGGTTCCATACATGGAGGACTCATCGAATTCGTGGACGTGCTCCGTGTGGAGTACCTCATTCTCTGCATGCGTTTCATTCCCTTTCTGCTATGCGCCGCTTCAAGTTAGTGCTCTGTGGAGTACGGCCCGGTGCCAGCACCTTCCTCCTCCTGTGCCGCCAGCCATGTTGACATTGGTACCCGTCATGTCGATCTAAGATGCCGTGGAAAAGCCCAAACCAGTGCCTATTATTTCGAGAACCAATGGCTATTTCTAGCTCGACGTGTCGGCTCCAGAGCTCTTGTCTCAAGCTTCGGTGACTAGGGTGGATGATCTAGGTTGGGGCTTAGCGCTTCCAATGCTCGAAGGGATCCAGTGTTGACTCGAAGCCCTTCGCTATTCTCATCCAATGCTTTTGCCCGAGATCCACGGTTTCACCTAGCGCTCTTCGTGAATAGGCGCCTACTCATTCAACTCTTCCATGACATTCAAGAGGTAGGCGCTTCACAGGTTAGCGAAAGTCCTAAGTTTCAGATTCACAGCCTTTTTTTTTTTCCTTAAAAAATAATGCTTCAGGAAATATAAAATCTGGCTGCACTCTCCATCAAGTCTGTCATCCCAGATCATCATCGCCATTCCAAACAGCTCTTTCAATCAATATTATCTACTGTGCTTCAGACTACATTGCTCCCTTTTTCTTTTTGTTGGTTTTACCTGCCCTCATTTTTCACTTCTATCAAGATGAGCAATACTTCGTTCGCCGTTTCTTCTCAGCAGGCTAACGTCCCTAACCCTTCGACTGTGCCGGCTGGTGAGCCACAACTTAACCATGACCTTTCATTGGAGCCAGGAGGTCTTTATGTTGTTTTATTCCGGATGGCAAAGCCAGGGCAGTATCATTGGAGCCTGGTCGTTGCCGCGAACGAGAGAACCGGAATGATGTACCACAATACCAATCTCGGGGGCGCCTTTTCGCTTCGAAGCTCGTTGGCATCCACACTTGCTCAATTCAACACACTTTTTGACCGCAATCAAAATTTCGAATCTCACTGCCTTCGAAAGAGAACTTCACTTAGCTTTTGTGGACGTGCTCGAGCAAATCCCTATCCAAGGCAAAACCTGCCGAACCTGGTTGAAGGAGGCGATTTATGTTACTGCAGATCAAGGTTACACCGGATTCCAACCGGATCGCAATCACGTTGAGGTACTGGAGGACGAAGGGTTGTTTTTTGCTGGTCAGGCGTCTAATGGACAACGCTCAGTTGTTACAAGCCAAGTTTTTAATAAATAAGTGCCAATGCCTTGGGTCCTACGGGTCTGCTTCTCGATCGGGTTTATTTCTAGAGCAGAAGAGAATGAAAGGAGATGCAATGATGTGGAGTAAGGGTTTCCTAGCAGTCAAGATTTGAAAGATTATCAGATGCTCATCTTTTGTTAGCTGATCACATCCTGGATCGCTTTCTGCCACTTGGAGAACAGAGAAATTAGCATCTGGTACCCCAATGGCAGTCACTGGGGACTTATGAGAAGCCCGATTGATATTCAGGATGTTGGAAAGGCTGTCATTGTTTGGAAGTTGGAGTTCTTCGGCTTTTTGAGTTGAGTTATTTGTTTTTTGACTCTTACTATGACTGCCTATTAACTATGTGTTATATGGGGGGGCGGTTTTTGTGTGGCTATAACTACATATTTTGAAGCAACTTGACTCTATATAGAGAGAGCATGGAATTTTCAGTTAATAGTAAGTATAGAGTAACCAGCTTAACGTTGACTAGTATGCTGTTGCTCTCTATGTCCTCTCACAAATTAACTCAAGAGCTCGTTATTGCTGGCGCATCATTATAGGTAGTTTAACTAAATACTCCATACTCTGTAGTTTGTTAGCATTGGCTCTCGATACAAAGTACTGAGTAGTTAACAACTCAATGTTCTGTATTAATCAGTCCCAGAATATTTTTGACCTTCGCATGAATCTTGCCGGGCTTCTTTTCATATTGCTTGAAATACATATGATCCCAAAGGTTCAATCTTGGGAAACCAAAACTCTTGGCTGAGCTAAGAATAACAGGTGGGTTGCTAGGTTACTTAACTAACTAGTGAACTAGTTATGGCCTCTGTTAACAAAACAGAAAACTCTGGAGCAACCCTTCTTTTCGCAGTGCCTTCAAATAACCTGGAGCTACCTCACATGAGTTAACTAGCTACATAACTATTTGCGCCTTCCAGAACATACAGTTCAGTATGGAAAAGTTACAAAGAGGTGTGTGAGTATGTATGATCCAATTACCCAATTTTAGGTCAGGGATGTGGCGGCTATTTCTTTGACAAATAGGCGGAGACTTCATCTCACAAATCACGCTCGCGGATGTGGGACTCTACAGAGTACTCCGTACATACTCCGTAGTCAACTAGTTAGTTCACTCTTAGTTAGTTAACTAAATATAAGGCTACATAGTGCATTTGTGTTGACAACCCTCCACCCTGTTCTTATATAGCAGGCTTGTTGGCGTTTAACTTGTGTGGAAGAAATATAAGGCTGCCAAACCCACACCTCTTCATCAGAATTATCACCATTTTTCCTCTTAAGCTCTTCCTAGAATCCCCATTTACATCACGATGAATAAATTTGGACAAGAATATCAGGCAGGCCTGAAGAAAGTCGAATCTGCGCAATTATCTGCCATTGAGATTCTCGCACTACGTTCGTTCCTCCTTTGGGCTGCTGAGCCTAATGATGCAGGCCGATATGTGCTTCGGCGATTATCCGAAAACCCGCAGTGCACCTTGGAGGAGACACTTCGCTCGATCCGAAAGGACTGGTTGACATTGGCAAATAAAAGTGAGATGTGCCTATCCTTCAACTTGATCTCATCGGGCTACATATTCATATAGTGTGGTAGTGTGTCGCGATGACCAAGTATCTCCAGAAATTGAAGCCGGTCTCAGGGAGCGAGATGGGCATCGTTGCTGTATTACAGGCTCAACCGTCGATGTTAAGCCTATATATATACTCGCTCCATCGCTCGTGAACGATAGCGACCTGTGCCCTGGGGTATGCTCAACAGCTTTCTTAAGTAACTGTGTTCGGAGTTCGTCGTATTTCGCTTAACGATTATTAGGGATATTTGCGACCGATGCTGGAGGCGCTCCTAACTCGCGAGAGGGTTGAGGAGATTTTTAGTTTACTCGAGACGCGTAATCAGAAGAATGAGCTGAAAAACCTCTGGCTAATGTCTCGGCCAGTACGAACTTCTTTTCGTTATGGACAATTCAGAATTAAGAAGTCAATTTATCTAGAAATGCCAGACCATACTTTCAGAGACGAGCGCAACGGTGGGGTAAAGTTGCCCGGAAACGTTCGAATTGATATGTAGGATGCTAAATCTATGGGTTACAGTGGTGGGTTGAAGCCGTCTCACCTCGAAATATATTACCCGAGTCTTTGGATGGGCATGAGTCGTTCTATAAAATCCCATCGACACCGAATCCGGATACTCATCCGCTTCCAGTGAATGTGCTGTTAAACGTCCATATTATTATTACCAGAGCTTTGCATTTCCATGTTATAGAGGAGCACATGCGACTGGGGTGGCCTGAGTGGACCGGTCAGTCATCCCTTTAATCATGCTATTATGCGTCGACTAACATGATCATAGAGCCTAGAACTCTTGGACAAACGGGGAGATTTTTGCTTCGAGGATTTTTGCGCGTTCTGCCCAACTTTGCCCGGATACCCCTTTATAAGCTGATCGTTCGACTGGTTGAGTACTTTGATCCTATCCAAAGGAAATGCTCCATCAAATGTCTCCCACTGGGTCTATGCCTCAAGGTGGCCCGCCAGTACACAGAAAACGAGGCGAACGCCTTACTATTAGTGGAGAAGTATACGACAATAAATGCACCTAAATTGATTGACTCTGTCGTGATAGATGACAAATCGGGGTTCATCCTGATGACAAGAATTTTTGGACATCCATTGAACGGTGTACATTACCGGACAACATTTGAAGAGCGGGAGCAGATAGGAAAAGACCTGGCCGGTTGGATCGAACAGCTACGACGGATTCCAAACAACACAAACCATCTCATCGCGAACACATTGGGTGGTCCAATTTGTGACCATCGACACGGGCAAGATGACAACTCTTGGGGTCCATATAACTCAGTTGCCGATTTCACGGACCGGCTCGTTCGAGATGTCGTCGACATCGACAAACGTAAACACGAGCGTCCAATTTCCCTCCTATATGAGAAGAAGCATGAGGTTGTATTCACGCATTCCGACCTCCACATGTCGAACATTATTATTCGGTCTGGCCGACTACATGGCCTTATCGATTTCGAAAACGCAGGGTTTAAGCCGGAGTATTGGGAATTCACCCGAGCTTTGTGGCCGTATGGGAGCCAAAACGAGAAGGAATATATATATCACAGCACATTTGGTGATAAGTACAAGGAGGAATTGGAAGCAGAAGTGTTCATTTTGCTAAATGCGCCATTTATTTTGTGATAGTATAGGGGATATATACAGGAGTGGCTTGTTCTGTTATTCACTGATCTATAGGTAGTTATTGCTGTCTCTCGATCTTCCAATTTCATATTACTGAGGCTGTAATTTTGGAAACAGAAACCTCTGGAAGACCAGCTTCAATCTTGAGCTCAGACCTGTTATGGGTGAGGTGGCTGACAACTTTGAAACAGAATTAATTCGTTATCACTGCAGATTTCCCAGAGATGCTCCATCAAAATTGCCGTCACAGGATGGAGACTCAGATCAACTCCACCAGACTGCTTAAAGAGTCCATCTTTTCATTTTGTGGGGGTGCAAATTGATGCATCACAAATGAAATAAACCAAGTTCTGAAGCAAGGGATTCTCCTATGTAACGGCTGGATTGAAGGTATATTATTCCAAGTGATGAAGCTGATCCTTTCAGGAAAAGATTGATTGGGACGGATGTGCTTTAACGCTCGAGATGGCCCTGTGAAGCCATGCACTCAACTCTAACAACGAAAGTCGTCTAGTTAAAAATTGCCAAGTGGGTAGATAGCGGGCCACCGCAGATGCAAACCGGGGGCATCCTCGAACTTCCAGGTTGCCGTTGGAAGTTGAGCGGGAACTCAGTCTTCTTTAGAAAGCAATACCCTGCATTCCGGCATTAGGGGGAAGGAATTCGGAGAGTCCCTTTTTCTTCTGAATGATAATCGTACTGCGCAATCTTGTAGAGACATTGGTATCCCATAATCATATCTGATCCAATGTATGCACATACCTCACGGTTGAATTACACACGGAAGATCGATTCCTGGGGGTAGATAAACCCAGTCTGAATTCTATATGTAGAATCAACGTGCGGCTGCCGTGCAGGACAGAGCTGCATCCCAAGCCACACTCTGCTGTGTGCAGTTCTCCCTCTCTCCCCTATCCTCTTTTCTCATTTTTCCCTTTATTCATCTGCAGTTTGATTACACGCACGTGATAAACGTAATGGCCCTGACCTGAACCTTGGGTTGCCAGTGTTTATCAGAACCTCTGACCTCACTCTCCTTTCGTCCATCTTCCCTCCAACGCGTGCTTTTCGCGTCCTCCAGAGGCCTTCATGCCACTCTCTTAGCTCTGCTTTGCTCCAGTCCCTTCTTTTCCTTCAAGCACATTTGCCTTGTTCCTTCTCATCCCATAGCCTGTCTATCAGGGAGGGGAAAAGGTCCTGTGCCAAGAGCAGAGCTATAAAATAAAGCCTTCTGGAACGTCACAAGCGTCCATTGTTTGTCATTATGGCTCACGTAAGGGTTCGTATTCTGATGTCCGTGATTGTTGCAACGATCACCACCTTATTCTTCTTCTGGGGTACTCATCGGTATGACAACACCATCCTCATCAAGGTCGATTCTCCAGTGAACCGAGTGGCTTCCACCAGTTCCAGCCACTCGCAATCAGATATCCCCAACAAGACTCCTGACGAATTGTGTCACACCGACAAATCAGTTGCCCCAGCAGTGGCCCTGGGAGAATGGCTCATTCGCAAGAACTATACCCGCGTCTACATGCGTCCCAACTTTCACCCCGCAACCACGAAATTCAATTCACTGGAGCCCATCGAGGGAAAGGTCCTTCCACCGTTTCGCGCTCTTGAGCGTGGACTAAAAGTGTCCAACGAGACCGACCCTTGGCCGTGTCCACCGATCGTGGATGTCAACGTCGCCACAGACCTGCCTATCGAAAGTACAAGCCAGCTCCTGTTTGGCCTCGCAACAACCGTTGAGAGGCTGGACAGCCTCTTGCCATCCCTATTATATTCCTATGGAAATACCAAGGCTACTCTCCTCGTTCTTGTGCCTGACAACCGACATGACCTTGACTTCCAGGAGGCTTATTTCCGGACCCGTGGCCTCGACCTCAGATTGAAGCCTTCTCCGCTGGAGTTCAATGCTCGTTATTTCGGCTTGGTTGGTGCTTTGAGGGAATTTATTGATGAAGAGCGACCAGACACGAAATGGGTCAGCTTTGTCGATGATGATACGTTCTTCCCTTTCCTGCCGAGAATTGCAGAGAAGCTCGCAACGCTGGACGCCTCTAAGAAACACTACATCGGTGGTGTGTCTGAAGCAAGTTGGCAGGTCAAAACCTTTGGGCACATTGCATTCGGTGGAGCCGGGGTATTTATCTCAAAAGGATTGTTGGACGCCCTCCAACCAATGTACCAGATATGCCAAGATTTTGGTGAACGACATGGAGACCAAAAGCTAGCGCAATGCATTGAGAAATTTGGGAAAACAAAGTTCACGGCTTGGGATTCACTGTACCAAATGGACATGACCGGGAAGCCCGACGGAATTTTTGAATCCGGGAAAGAAATCAACTCCATACATCACTGGAACACCTGGTTTAAAACGGATGTTGCCAAAATGAGCGCTGTAGCTATAGTTGCAGGACGCCATTCCGTGCTGCGACGCTGGCAGTTTGACGAGACAGTCGAACAAGGCGACAATGGAGTTGAGAAGCGGAGCTTCTGGGTATTGACTAATGGCTACTCCATTGTCCGATACACTATGGATGCCAGCATCTCCGCCAGCGCAATAAATTTCGACCACACCGAAAAGACATGGAACGAGGATCCAAAGGGCTATGAGAAAAGACTGGGACCGCTGAGACTTAAACACCAGCCTGGAATCAGAAAGGATCGATGGATGCTGTCAGACTCCGTTGTTGTCGGCAACAATGTCCATCAGACCTACATCTGCAAGGACTGGGAGGGCCACAGCGTTGTCGAGCTTGTCTGGCTCGGGAATCAGGGCTGGCTTCGACCAGATAACGCCTATCACTTTTGAGCCGATAAATCTCCAAACGTGATATGTGATTTCTAGTTCCAGACACAGCGAGAGCAGGATCTCATAAGAATGTTTTGCAATGTGCCCTCGTTCAAAGGATATGTAATTCACTGTTCCTACGTCCCTTTCTTCATGCCTAGAGCGATAAGCCACCATTTCCAAGGAGTTTTTAGACGGACAGGGTATGAGAGAAAAGGCATGGCGTTCGGGAAGAGAGGAACGAGCGATCTTCGGCGTTGATAAGGGATTTCTGCGAACCAAAGAGGGTTTTATTCAAGAATTTCATAAAATATGGATGGAAAGGCCAGATTGTGTGTACAACCATGTATGTAAAATAGGACGAAAAGTGAATAACAAGGCCATCCCATATCAATTGACCACTGCTTGATTTGTACTCTGTCCGGAGTAGAGGTGGAAGAAAGGGCAAGGTTGCACAACTCCGTGCAGAGACTGCGGGTCACAAGAGCACCAGGTTCGGGGAACACAGGTTTATGCAGTTTAACGCCAAGCCGCCGCCTCGTCACCCGTGAGTATGGTGGGTGGCAGCGCCGAAGCTGAACGAGTTCCAGACCGTGCTCTTCTTACATGACCCTGGTTTTTAGAGGGACTTTAATAGTTCACTCACTTGCGATATATTAACTGATATCCTGTTGCTTCTCTACAAACTCCTGGAATCACAGCTCAACTGATGACCAAAGATCGTAGCTGAAGGCCCTTCCGCTTCTCCCTGTCAACCTTGTTACGCGAAACTTGCTGAACGAATTCATACCCGCATCCAGACTGTCAAAAGCTCTCCCAGATGTCCTCCCTCGAAGCCTGGGCCCTTCCCCACCTCGAAAAACTCCTGCCGCTCGACAACGAGTCGTTAAAACAGATAATCACGTACACCGCCAGTTTGTCGAAAGCAGAGAGTGCAGAGCACTTACGGAATTTGCTGGACGATTCGGCCGCGTCTTTGGAGTTTATCGCGGGGTTTAATTTCAGGAGAGGTAACGGGGGTGGTGGTGTACAGGCGCAATCACAGACAGCAGCTACTAGAGGCGGGAGATCTGTAGGGAATAATAATACTGGCTCGGGCGCGAGGCGGAATCAAAGGCAGAAAGATTCGATACATACCCCGACCGCGATTAGAAGGCCGGAGAGATACGGCGATGTGAGCGGAGGATACGTGAAGTCACGGAAGGAGGAGGATTATATTCCTGGCGCTTCGTCGCAGGAGCACATACCTTCATCTTCGGCGGATGCATCGCGAAACGAAAGCCCAGCGGGAAGAAGGCCTGGAAAGCCGCCTCCGTCAGCATCTGGTCCGTTGATATCAGAGTATTTACCGAATGTTAGATCGAAGAAGGCAAAGACACCCGGGACTACTACACCCTCTCGCGGGTGCGGTCAGACTCAGTCCGGAGGGGCAACGCCGACAACAACGACGACGAATAACATCGCCGATCTCACTTCTGCGATCGCAGCGCTCGAAGTCTCTACAAACCCAAAGGAACGCAAGCGGAGAAAATGTAATTGCAACGCGAATCTCCATCCGCTCTTCACTCCAGCGCCAAATTGTCTCTCCTGTGGAAAAATAATATGCGCACTAGAAGGGCTACAACCATGCTCGTTTTGCGGAACGCCGCTGCTATCTACGACCGAGATACAGGACATGATTCGAGAATTACGCGCCGAACGCGGCAACGAGAAGATGCGCGCACACAACGAGAGCGTGCATCGTGATTCCGGCCCGGCACCGGCGTTTGCCACGAGCAGCGATAGCAAATTGGAGGCAGCCAAGGCCCATCGCGACAAGTTACTCTCTTTCCAAGCCCAAAATGCACAGCGAACGAGGATCGTGGATGAAGCTGCGGACTTCGATATACCTACCAGTTCGTCAACGCAGTGGATGACGCCGGCGCAGCGCGCATTGGCGTTGAAAAAACAGCAACGGTTGATGCGGGAGATGGAGGAGCGGAATCGACCGGAGTGGGAGAGGAGGAATATGGTTATGAGTTTGGATATTAAGAGAGGCAAAGTTGTGCGGACGTTTGAGCGCGAAGAAGTGTCTCAAACGCCGGATAATGAGTCAGAGGATGAGGATGAGGAAGTTGACCAGACAGTGGGTGCTGGTGGACTGTCTGGTGCGGATAAAGAAGGCGTATTTGCGCGGAATCCGCTGCTTAAAGGGGCTGGGTTAGTTAGGCCGGTGTGGAAGGCGGCTGGGTCTGTGGGAGGAGACGGTGGTATTCAGACGAGGAGGAGAGAGCAGAGACAGACGTGGAGGCGTGTGCAGGATGATGACGACGATAATGAGCGGTGGATTCTCGATGGAGGATTGCACGGCCATGCTCACGAGGACGACGTTGGGCGGTGTAATGCTCTTGTCACATAACATCATCAGTACCCAATGTAGTATACGAATGCACGAAAGTTTGTTGTATCATCCAATATCGGCAGGTTTAGACTTTGTGCTGAGCAGTTGGGAATTGCAGATAATATCATTTCATCCAAGCGTCGTTAACCATTATATCCAGCATTTTAGATGTAGAAAAAATAGCCCCAGTGGCCGAGAACTATATAATCTTTTCCCTCGACAGCTTCTCCCTCCGCAATCTTTTCTCCCTATCGTCGCTTATAGCCGCACCCATATTATACAAGAATATCGAGGTGAAAATGAGCGCCACCAAACCCAAGAAGAAAGCAACTATTACAATCGAGAAGATAACGAAACCGTACGTCGCATTCACAAAATCCGTGTTATCCTGAAGGCCCGGAACATCCATTGCCACCTGCATGGCAGACAGCACAAGCGAGAAATACACAAAAACCACTAGTATCCAGCCAAAATTGCGCTCGAAGAAGACCGTGTAGCGGTTGTATCCGTACAAGTAGCCGCGGATAAAGTGCGTGAAGAAGAACCGGACGCGGTAGATGGAGTTTATGCGGTTAAGGCGAAGTTCACCGAAGTGATATCGTTTATTGACGGTGTCGAGAGCGTTGATGTTGATGTGCTTGAATACATCGTTGACAAAAGATTTCCACCAGGTCCAGGCGAGGTTGGAAGGGAAGAGCTGGTGGTCTTGGGCGACTTTCAGATCTATAGGGGAGCAGATGAGCCATATATAGGAAACTAGGAGGCCCGATGCGGACTCGTGGAGCTCTTTGGACGAACAGAGATGTTTCGTCCAGAAATCGTGGTTAAGTAGGTAAGATGGAATAGGCTTCACAAGAAGATGGTTTGAGAATTTGAGGAGGTGGAGGTCGGATTGTTCTGTAGGGATGATCTCGAGGCCCATCATCCGCTGGCGGTGTAACGGACGAGCATTGATGGGACGCCCAGCCATCCAGAGAATATTGTGAATCCTGTTGAGACGGGAAAGATCCAAGTCTCGTTGGAGATAGCTGGCTACGTCGGTTTCGGTGAGGAATGCGTCGTGGAGCCGTGTCCGTGAAATCGTCGGGAGTGAACTCATGACTTCTGAAAGAACTGCAAGGTCGCTGGGCACGGCTTCACGCGAGAAAGGGGGTTTAAGAGGTGGCTCCTCGACGACTACGGATTTCACCGAGCCGGTGGGCTGAGAAAGGGCCTCCATCTGGGATAATTGGTACGGTCTTTGACAATCGGGGCTCCTTTCACAATAGGGAAGAAATTAGAGCCCTACAGAGCAGTTATGTATATAATACCAGAACTCGAAAGTAGAAAGATGATGGTATGATCTATGTGCTGGGGAACAGCTAGTTAACTATAGAGTCAACTAGATAACCGCACATGAATATGCGAACATGACGCCGTGCTTGACGACCAGAAAAGCTCCAGTCCCTGGAGCTTGCCCGTCGGCTATTTATGCCTTGCGGCTGGGAATGGATCTTGATCACGGCCGGTCAGCTCTTGGCGCATTCAGATGGAGTCCAACTAGTCGACAAACTAAACAGCCCAGCGAGTCAAGTTTGCCAACGGCGGATCAGCTGGAGCCGCTGTTGGCTGCCACGATCAGACCAGGTCATCGCGTAACAAGGGCCCAGCGCCTAAGACCAGGTGACCCTTCCGAGAGACACAATCGAAACAGATCAATCAAATAGCGTAAGACGCGATGAAAATGAAGGAGCAGAGATCAGAGAGCGGACAGGGCAATGTCGATTGTCAGAATACTCCGTACTCCGTACATAAAGAGGTATGAAGCAGCGAGGTGACTCTGTAGAGTCCGTGGCTCTCCTTATCCTTAGCCCGTTTGGTCCGCTTCGGTGGAGCTGCGAGCAGCGCCGTTTTTCCGCCTCCACCTCAGTCCGTGCGCCCTCCAACCTGCAGCTGTGGATTTTGCTTCGCTCTGACAAGCTTCACTGTTGGTTATCCAGCCACCACACACCAAATCAGCCTCTAGGTGCTACATCCACACAAAACTTACTGAAGGTGAATGTTCTAACTACTTCTATGCTTGACCAAACCGCGGAGAAATGGGCGCAAAACACTGGCGACCCTATATGTACTCGTTCAAGAGCAACAAACCCCTAGAAGTTGCGGCCTCATCACCCGAACACCAAACAAATGTTGAAGTTGACTAGGTCACTGGCTGTGTACAAGGGGCACTGTTCCACGGTCTGACTTCTGTCTAGCCTTAAATCGCAAAGTTTCCACAAACTCGTCAAAGCTGCCCCTCCAATGCTACTTAAGAATAACCTGCCTGCAAAAGGGAGAACCTCTTGAAGGCTGCCGGAAACAAGCGAAAGGGCACAAACTCTCTCACTAATTGCCGCTTCTTCAGACATTTAGCCCACATGATGCTCCTCCGTCAAGGCCAACAATGAGTGCTCATCTCAAGGTGTGCCCCGCCTGAGCCTGTCGCGAACAAGGACGACTACTACGTCACTACCTTGGCCTGAACTTCTGTTCGCTGCCTCTATTCCACTCTGCCGCTGGAGCCCGAATCCTTCAACCTGGTTTCCAGAGGAACGACGCTTTTCAACCTGCTTTTCCTCTTTTCGTCCATCTTCATTCTTTTCTTGTCGCTTGTCCCATTTAAACCTAGCAAAATACGGAGCTATTGGCTTTACAATATGTTGCCGCAGTCAGACCAACCCGTGATCGCTGAAGCGAAGCGCATTGCAGCAGAGTTCGAGTATTCGTCCGCTGATGTGAACCGCGGAGTGAAGAAATTCCTCTCCGAGATGGAGATTGGGCTGACAGGGGAGGGCTCGACGCTGAGCCAAATTCCATCCTATATTACATGTGTGCCTGATGGCAGTGAGAAGGTGTGACCACCAGACTGTATACACCTTTTTTCACGCATAGGTCATATGCGATGGGACAAAAGCAGAAGCGGGAGCTGCGGTTGTGGGGTTGCCAAATGCCCCCATTTCAGCAGAGATCCGGCGATAGGTTGTTGTTTTGATTGACGCATTCAAGGTTGCTAATAGCGTACTGCTTTTCTAGGGCGTCTACCTCGCAGTTGACCTCGGTGGGACTAACATCCGCGTTTGTTCGATCCATCTAAACGGGGATTCAACTTTCGACATGACTCAAGAGAAGGCCGTCATTCCGCGCGAGCTGATGGTGAGCGACTCAGCCGCAGAGCTTTTCGGATTTATCGCGGAACAGATAGAGTGTTTTCTTCAGAAGCATCACGAAGAACGTTACGGTTCCCACACCGAGAAAAGAAGGCTAGGCAGCACTGCCTTCCACGACGAGGATATATTCGACCTAGGCTTTACCTTCAGCTTCCCTGTAATCCAGACCGCCATCAATAAAGGCAATCTATATCGCTGGACCAAAGGATTTGACATTCCGGATGCTGTGGGCCAAGATGTTTGCAAATTGTTACAAGATGCTGTCGATCAGAGAAATTTACCTGTTCGAGTCTCTGCTTTGATTAATGATACCGTGGGCACTCTCATGGCACGGTCATACTGTTCCAGTGGCCATTCTAAAGCGTTAATTGGTGCAATCTTCGGTACAGGCACCAATGGTGCCTACGTAGAGAGGCTGGACCGAGTCAAGAAGCTGAATAATCGCGGCGGAGACCTCGTTGACGCATCAGCGAGCGAGATGGTCGTTAACACGGAGTGGGGCAGTTTCGATAACCCCCTCGAGGTGCTGCCGAACACCAGACATGACCAAGAACTGGACGGTATAAGTGTTAACCCAGGGGTCCAGATGTTCGAAAAGCGAGTATCAGGAATGTTTCTGGGTGAGATTCTTCGCTGTACAATACTCCACATGAACAAAAACCCTGCTCTGAACTTGTGTGGCGGGTCAAGCGCGATTCCAAAGGACTCAATACTGTATCAACATTGGGGCATTGACACGAAATTCCTGTCTACCGTGGAAGGCGATTCGACGGATGACCTTCGGGAGGTTAAGGAAGAGCTGCGATCCGATCTCGGGATCGAGAACGCGAGCACCACGGACTGTAAAGCGATCAAGGTCCTTACGCATGCCATCGGGAAACGGGCAGCACGGCTTAGCGCTGTGCCTCTCGCTGCGATTATCATATCCAGCGGACGACTAGGTACGGAAGACGTCATCGACATTGGTGTCGATGGCAGCCTGATTGAGTTTTATCCGGGATACGAGAAGTATATCCGAGAAGCATGGCGTGAGATTCCGGAGATCGGAGAGAAGGGTGAGAAGAAGATTCAGATCGGTATCGCGAAGGATGGGAGCGGTGTCGGCGCTGCTCTGAGTGCGTTGGTTGCTCGGCAGGCAGAGAAACGGAAGCAGGGGTAACTTTGAGCTAGTTAGCCGTCTAGAAGTTTGATAGCGGCGTCGCATCGCTTGAGCCCAGATCATATTGGACAATCTTTGCCATTTTATCCAGAGCATATTATGTATTACATTTGCCTCCAAGAGTTGTATCATACCCTTGCATGCTTTCCAAGCCATTGCGGTTGTTTTGCATAGATACATTGGGCCCCGGTCCAGGCAGATCTCTGGGTTGTTTCGGCATCAAAGAGGGGCATTTCCTAGTTAACTTCCCGCCAGGGTCATTGTCTTGAGACTTCACCGCAGCTTGCTTAGAACGTGTATTTATTGCCGCAAACACCCACCCCCCCCCTTCACTCTCCTCCGAAATGAATTCCACCAGACTCTCTTCTCTTCTTGCTCTCTCCCACCGCTCTATAACCTCATCAGTCCACAGCTGTGGCCGGTCTGCCAACGCTCGATTCACCACCAGCCTCCCTTTCTCCCAGCGACAGCTTCCCCGCAGCTATCCGACCCACTGTAGACACCTAACCTCACCTCGCTACTACGCAACAATGGCCTCTCTCAAAGCTGGAGACAGCTTCCCTTCTGACGTTGTCTTCTCGTAAGTTCTCTGGAACGACATTTCCGTGCTGCGCGGTCGGAAATGACAGTGAATTGGTCTTCAGTGATCGCGTGCTGATCATTATCGATGATGCGTTTCAACAGTTACATTCCATGGACACCTGACAATAAAGACATCAAAGCGTGTGGCATGCCACAGAACTACGAGGCTTCCAAGCTCTGGGCTGACAAGAAGGTTGTCCTCTTCTCTCTTCCCGGTACGCAAACACCTACAACCCACCCCCCAAAATCTCTTCTCGACTACCTCGTTGACTGACTCCCATCTCGATTTGATGGATAGGTGCCTTTACTCCTACCTGCTCCGCCAGCCATCTCCCCGGATACATCCAGAAGCTTCCTCAATTGAAGGAAAAGGGCGTTGACGTCGTTGCTGTCCTCGCATTCAACGATGCCTGGGTCATGAGCGCCTGGGGCAAGGCCAATGGCGTTACCGGAGATGATATCGTAAGATATTCCAATATTTACATCTTTTAAGGCATCTTAAGAGAGATAAGGTCTGTTTGCTGACTTGAGATGGCATCTCTAGCTCTTCCTCAGCGACCCGGAAGCTAAGTTCTCAAAGAGCATTGGCTGGAACGCCGGCGAGCGAACTGGCCGATATGCTATGATTATCGATCATGGCCAGGTTACTTATGCTGAAATAGAGCCTGGTCGTGAAGTTACCGTATGTTTTATATGCCGATGCTGAAACCCGCTTGACGCAGAAGTATCATAGGCTGACAACTGAATAGGTCTCGGGCGCTGACGCCGTCATTTCCAAGTTGTAAATGATGAACAAACCGATGAGAAATCCGAAAAAATATTATCTTATGGAGAATCAAGGGAAACGGCCAAAGTGTTGTAACTATTAGCTAGATCACCAAAACCGTTGTATCAATACAGACTAGAAAGACACAATACAATTTGGTTGCTTGCACAACAATATCAAAGAATCCCCAATATGAACTATGTATTCCATGGTCTGCAGCAAGGCTATAAAAATGCAATGGGTGGTGTGTAAATAGTGCTGCTCCTTGGTCGTGGTGCTCTGAATGTGACGACATGCAAACACATCCAGCCAAAATCCCATCAAACTCTGTTCTCTGTCACTCAAACCGAGAGCTCACACCTTTTCTCTCTCCGCCCTATCCGTCAGCCAAACGACCCAATGGCTGCTCCCAACCCTCCGCGGCAGAGAAAACCCCAACAACCCTCGAAACCCGAAAAGCGCAAAGCTGGCCCCAACGCAAACCCCCAAACCCGCAAACGCGCCAAGACCCATGATGCGCGTACTCTGGCCGTACAGAGCTCCGAGGCTGCGCTCTCCAAGACCGGCGAGCTAGACGTATCCGCCTTCGTGGCGGCGAGGCAATACGAGATCCGTGCGCTGGAAGCGGGGATACGTAGTGCTAAAAATGCGTTGACAAGTCGCGCTTTTCAAAAAGTGCCGCGGGCTTTAAGGAGGAGGACGGCAAGTCATAATGTGAAGAGGGTGCCAAGGAGATTGAGGGCGAGGGCGAAAAGGGAGGTATGTTTATTACTGTCTGAACTGTGGCAGAGTCAGCCTTTGTGGTGGTTACTACGTGTTAGGATTTAGGGCTGAAAATGATATGTTGTAGATGATTGAGGATAACACGCCCACTGTCACTGCTCGCCGGCGTAAACCCACGGAACAAATACGGCTTCGTCTTGAGACAGCTCGACGCTTACAGAATCTTAATGCTCGCTCGAAAGCGGGGAGAGCTGCGAAAAAATCAGGTGCTGATAAAGCGGTTCCTGTTATGGGTGATGCCGAACATACATTTGATATCGCCCCGCGCGTGCCGAAAATCAAAAAGAGCAAGCTCTCGCATCCTGAGAAGCCTCCGTCTAAATATAAGAAGCGGCAGCGGGGAAAAACATGGTTGCCGACACATATGTTTCATGCTAAACGGGCGCATATGACGGAACCAAAGGCTCCGTTATGGCGATTCGCTATTCCAATGACACCTACGGAGAAATCCTATAGGCCTACGCATCGTGTGAACAGTGCGAGAGGAGCTATTGCGTGGGATATGAGCTATATCTCTACTATCGGACTCGAAGGCAGGGAAGAGGGTATCGAAGGATTGCTAAAAGCCATTGGTGTGGAGGGGGATGCAGCATGGGGAAACAAAGGCAAAAAATGGAGAGCCGGGACTAGAAGCCTAGAGACGTGGGTATTCGAGAGGGATGGTGAAAAGCTGCCAATTGCACCAGTTACACTGATTTGGTGTGCCCACGATAAGTTGGAGGACGTTGAAATGGTCGATGCAGGCAAGCCTGTGCCGGCAAACAAGCTACCCAAGCGGAAAATGTTCCTTCGAGTACATCCCTCAGCCTTTCTACAGCTGTGGCAAGAGCTGTTGAAAGTGTCGAAGATACAAAGGCCACCAGTTTTGCTTGAAGATCTCCGTTTCGAGATTGGAAGCATTGAACTGTCGGGGCCCGGCTCAACCGAAGCTTTACTTGCCGCCCTCACACCTGTTTCGCCGCCGGAAAGCAGCAGCAGGCCTTTAGGCTGCCCGGAAGAAGTTTGGAAGTCCCTTCTCGGCCTAACCAATCCCGCTTCGCTCCCGCAAAATGCCCTTTTAGCTTTTAATACCTCTGACCCACGTCTACGATATCCTCCCCGGACGGTCAAGCCCTCTGACTCTGAGGAAAGTCTTGATCGTCTTTCTGTTCTCCTATCTTCTTGGCCTCCAGACGCAACGCAGTCGAGACCAGAACTATTTTCCCGTCCTGCCCGTCTCACAGCTTCGCGGCTTCTTCCCAGCCAAAAAGCCATTAGCAAAAGGAAGGCACTCGCACCACCTGGCGAATATCCATCACCGAAACCAACAGATCCGCAGATCCCAGTCATTCTTCTTACATCTCGCCCGGGTTGTTCATCGAGAACATCGAATTATCAAGGCCGTTGGACGCTCTTGGTCCCTTGGAAATGTGTGAAGCCAATATGGTATTCTATCATGTACTATCCACTCTCTTCTGGTGGTAATCCCAGGTTTGGCGGTGTCCATGAACAGCAACAGCTTGCGTTTGAATCTGGAGAGAGCTGGTTCCCGGGTGACTTTCCAGGAACACAGGCTGGGTGGGCGTGGGAGATCCGGCAGAGGAACCTGCAGAAAGACCTATGGGAGCGCAAGCCAAAGGGTAAACGAGTGGAGTTTGACAGTATTGACCTTGGGAACGGTAGACGCGGCGAGATTGGTCGTGGCTGGGCCTGCGATTGGGAGATACTTGTTGGAAAGGGGACAGATGGAGAAAGTAAAGCTGCAGGCTCAAAAAACAATATCGAAAAAGCGGAGATGAGCGAAAGCTCTAAGAGCCAGAGCACGGTTGCTCCGGAGAAGATCAACTCCAGTTCAAAGGATCCCGAAGTTCCTCCTCTCGGAATCCATCACCTTACGCCCTCGGCTGCATCTTCTATCCTTCTGGAAAAGGCCAAGTCTGACTGTCTTCCATTATCTTCGCAATCTCTCTTAGAAAAACCGGCCCTCGCAACTGTAAGGCTTAGCTTGGTCAACCGCGGGACTCCTGCCCCTCGTGCACGGATCTATCGTCTTCCGACAACCGACCCTGTACTTCGAAACCAATGGCTTTCGCTCCTGAACAACGCATCGCCTTCAGGAAATGTGGGCAAAAAGACTCGCAAAAAAGGGCAGTCTCGAAGCCAAAAAGAGCAGAATACTAAACCAGACCCGTGCAGTGAGAATTCCAACAGCACGGTTGCTATTCCGACCGGAGTGTTTTCAGACTCAGTTGAGACATCCCGCCACCCCCCACCTCCGGATGAACGGGACTTGATTGGTTTTGTGACAACTGGGAACTACAACCTGAGTGCTGGTAGGGGAACAGGCATTGGTGTGATACTTGCAAACAAGATAGAGGCTTATACACCACCGTCTCTGTCGTCTTCGTCGGGACTGGGAGATAATCCGTGCACAAGCCCGCCTACTACGCTGAACATTGCAAAGGAAAAGCTAGCACGAACGTGTATTGTGAGAGCAGCTGGTGAGAGTGTCGGGAGATTAGGTTGCTGGGAGATTTAAGACCTCCTATAAATGCATTTGACAACATATTGATATTGCATACGACTGATATTGGCGAGATCGATCTGCCCGAATGCATGGTCAATCTGTATATTAAATAAAAAAGTATATCTTAAATTTTCATCTGCTCTATGTTATGCATCCCATTTTGTTTTATAATACAACACTCTTGCATGCGATGCAAAAGACATAACTTTGAGTGCTTCTGTCATAGAACTTTCGCTCAGCAACAGATGCTTCAACGCATCGGGGTTATATAACCACCAAAGCTCTAGCCAATGACCTTCTTCACCCAGTCTTTCTCTAATCGAGCAACTTCCTTCTTGAATGTATCCACTTCAGCCCAGCAGTCGAGCGGCCTCTTTTCCTTCCCTCTCAAACAGTTGACAACGTCCTCCCTCGCCTTCTCCACGCCGGCATCGACCTCCTTGACCTTCCGTCTCGCAGCGAGTTTCTCCCGCAGCGCTTCAATCTCTAGCGCCACCTGCTGGCTGCTTAGCTCCCGTCTCGCAGCATCTTGGTCGAGATCTTGGGGTAATCCGGCGGTTTCAGGGCCGGCGAAAGGTACGCGGGGTGCGTCAAGGGATGTGGATTGGTCTGTGAAGGCTGATGACTGAGTAGTTTCTGCGAGGCGTTGTTCGAGGTCTGCAAGAGTCTGAGTTTCGCGGGCTTGGATACGTTTTAGTTCCTCTGCGACGCGGTTTTGGATGTGGAGTTCTATGGTTTGGGCACGGGAGGAGTCGGTCTGCAGATTGGAATTGTTAAAAACACATTGCAGCGATAACGCGGGGTGGGGAGTATTACCTCTGAACTCGATTGTAAAGATTCAACAAGATTCTGGGAGAATTGAACTGGAGTTTCGCTGAATTATAGCCAATTGGAAATACGTTAGTTTCGCGATTGCCAGCCCGCACTTCATCGCAGCCGCCCATGCGCGCGGAGTATTGCTAGGTGGAAAATTCTAACCTCCTAAAAACATGTCTCGAGCCTCCGCTCGTTTCTGAGAGTTTAGATCCGCCTGCTCCCATGGCTTCTTATTGCTGAACGACGTGCCGGATTGTTGCCAGAAAGCGGGCGGCTTCGGGAACGAAACTGTAGGACGGGTCGTTCAATTGAAGCTCGCGCGAAAAGGTCGGAAAACCGGATATATCCCCGGGATGGCCTTTCAATCGTTAACTTAAACACAGGGCAGTCGATAGATGAGCAATTGGCCCCGTTGAGCGTTCACTGCGTCAGCCGACAATTCTGATAATTTGGCAGATCAAGGTTGCGAACCCGACATCCACGCACTTTGCCAAGATGGGTTTAGTGTGCTCATACGCCGCTCTTCGGTGCGAACCGCCAGCTCCTCCAAGGAATAATGCAACCGGATCGCGTCAATTGATGAAACTTAAGACTTGTGGCTGCTCGGAGAAAGCCTGGCTACGAACATGAAAAGAACTTCTGCTGAAAGGTTACTAGATATAGACTGGTTTATTGGTGTGGCACTACTTTATAAGCGATCTAAGCTATTCCGTAACGCAACAAGCATATCATTACTGTCATCATTGGCTTAAGCCTAGGAAGCGGACATATTTTCCTCTTCAGCAGCTTCTCGGTTTTCAAACACGAGAAATTCGTTCTCGTCTGCATCTGCACCCATAATGTCCTTCCACACATGCCTGACTTGATCGATCATGCTGTCGTTGAACTCCAAGTCAAGGCACGGAGATGGAAACACCAGGATCTGACTGTCAACGCCCGCGAGTCCATCCTTCGGCAATATATCCGTGCCAAGGTCGCCGAGCTGGGTGAACTGCATTTTCCAAAGAACTTCTGCCACCGGGTCAGTTGATTTCAGGAGCTGTTGCACAGCTGAATCAATGCGTGGGTGTCCCTTGCTGGATGGTTGCAAAACACTCGCATATATTATACCTTATAAAACAAACGCGTTAGCCGCTGCGTTCCAAGAAAATAGAGAGAATAACAATAACAGAACAATTGCTCTCATATCAGGCTGTCAGAGGAAGGTTTATCATCAAAGATGTTACAGCCAATGTAGATAAGTATTCGAAATTTGAAATCATCATTGAGAGCGGCAACAAAGAAAGCGTGGCAAAGTTTGGGTATTGCAGAGAAACTTACATTGACCAAAAGGGCATTCACCGGTATCGCTAGAGTGCAATAGCAAGTATAATGGTGGTTCATCAATTGCATCTTCTCCGGCAGCTTGCTGACCAGGAAAGATAACGAGAGTCCCGGCTGCAACAGGGCCATTCTCGGCGATCGGAGGGAATAGAGCTTCTAGGGGCGACGACACAATCATAACAGAACGCGAAACCTTGGTCAAGGTGGGCAATTCTGCTTTCTGTGTATCTGCTGGAATATCCCAAGGAGCGCCAACGATATATCTAGTACATACCGTTTCTCCATCGCTCAAGCACACTCTTCGCAAACTGGAATCTCCATCTGGCGAACCCTGTTCTGGAGGTCCCACGCTTCTTATTCCTCTGTTTAAAGCGTATACGCCTCCGCCTACTGCACATGCTCGACAGGCTACCTGGGCGATCTCAGAGGCACCACCCCATTTAGTAACCAGAGAAGAAAATCCTGGCCCAAATACACCAATGGATTGTAGGTGTCTTTTGATTTTTGGAAGAGCATAGCCAGCTGTGGTTTGGGAAATAGAATGCGGGGATAAACATAAGCAAAGAAGGGGATAGTAGAGATCCGAATGGACCTGGAATTTGGAGCGGAGAAAGGTTGAGAACGGAGTATCAAAGTCACCTTCTTCGATGGACGAACTCTCACTTCCGTCGGACTGACCTAGGTATCTCAAAAACTTCATCAAAGATCGTTTGGATTTCATGGTCAATGTGTCATCAGCAAAAACGTCTTCACGGCTGCTTGGTACACACTGCAAGCCACGAATGGCATGTTCTTGGCTTCCTGTCTCTACTTGAGCTTCATCCCGATATACCCACCAGTTCCCCATCGCTTGGAACTCCAGTTGGCGGTAGACCTTGGAAGATACTAAGCTGGGGAGTAGTTTAGAGCGGGTATAGATCAGCTGAGGAGAAAGAGAGAGCGTATATGCCCTCGAAAAAGAAAGTCTCCCATTTTCTTTTTTTTCTGTTGAGGGAGAGCGCCATACCGACGCTGACTCAAATGGGCCAAAATTCGGCTCTGACTTCGTAGTCATCAGGTCAGCAGCAGCGCCACCAGTAAGGTGACCGAAGAGGACCGTTCTCACCGCAGCCAACTTTGTTTACCCAGTGTTCTGCCTCCTGCAAGCTGAAGGCGGCTTCAGAGCCTCCATAATAGTCATTTTTATCAATATGAAGGACCTTTTTACCAGACCTCGACAACGCCCTACATTGAGAGCTGTTAGATTGGGGGCAAACAATGATGGGTCCATCAAAGAAGATAACTCACAGTGCAAGCAGTGACTGGGGGAGGCCAGTCCCAGATATTAAGACGTCCCAGGTGGTATCATTAAGGGTGTTTTGTCCGAGCATGATCACCCCTTCAGCTTTGGATGAAGATAATTCCAGATAATGTCACCTGGATAGCAAGGAAGATCTAGCTATGACATGATGAGGTCAACCACCCAGGGTGATTCCAAGAAAGGTTTGGGGGGTTTGTCTATTTCACAATATTTGTGCTTGGGCGGGAGGAAAAGAAGAGGGAAAAACAAGTTGAAGTTGAGACTGACTTTATGTGCCGAGTCGAGCGACATTTGCGCTAGGCCAAACCGGGCCCTAGCGCAGACTCGGCACAGCGACCGCACAATTTGACGCCTCAGCGAGCTCTTGATTCTTCATTTCTTCTATCACCCACTCGCTGCGCTCTGCGTAGACAAATTGCTTTTCTTTTTACACTGGCAACGTTGTCTCCATGGATGGCGCCTTCATTGGAGCCATCCCTATAGAGTGGAAGATTGGACATTTCACCCTGTATCTGCCGCTCAAGATGGAGACATCTGATCGATGCGGTTCGTTTTGCGGTGATACATACTCCGTACATCATTGTCCGGGAAGGACTACTCCGTAATGTGCGCTCGTAATCCGTCACAGTGCTTAATCTACAATGCTCTTCTAGAGATCTACCATATCATAGAATTCGCCGGCGCGGGCGTAACATATTTTCTGCCAAATGTCTCCCCACCATTGCACCGGGGCTTGCAATGGTTATGAAGGGCGCGCTGCGACGTATCTCAGTGCATTTGTCCCATCGCGGGTTCTTGCCGTGGGCCACAGTGCGTGAGTGTTTATGATGACTGCTTTATACTGCAGACAGTCAAAATTAACCTGCTCTGGTGTCGATTCTGCCCTGTCACTCATCACCAGTCTCTTCGACGACCCTCGCCTTCAAAATTTTGACCTGATCCACTGGTCTATCATCCGCATCGGTTTTCACAAGTCCCATTCGTTGCACTACCCTCATCCCGCTCTTCACCCGGCCAAATATTGTATGCTTTCCATCCAACCACGGTGTAGGCGCCAGTGTAATGAAAAACTGGCTCCCGTTAGTATTCGGTCCACTATTTGCCATACTCAAAACACCTGCACCAGTATGTTTCAAGGATGGATTGATCTCGTCCTCGAATTTCTCGCCGTAAATGGAGCTTCCGCCGCGACCTGTGCCGGTAGGATCCCCGGTCTGGACCATGAAGTCGGGGATAATGCGATGGAAGATGACATTATTGTAATAGCCTCGTTGTGCTAAGGTGGAAAAGTTTTTGCATGTCTATGCATTCAATTTGCAGGAGTTAGCAGCCAGCTCAGCCATAGGAAGGTTACCAGATTCATTTACCTTTGGTGCATGGTCATTGTAGAGCTCAACAGTGATGGAGCCCTGAGTGAAGGTAAGTACATACAATAAAATAACGAGGAGTTTCCGAGGCCACGCATACTAACCATGGTAGTATCAATAACCACATCTGTAGCCATTGTGAATATTCAGATCAAGCTAGAATCTAAGCCCTGTTGTAGCGCCGGAGAGGAGTTGCGCAGATGATGTCAACCAGGTGAGCAAACAACCGACCCAAACTTTGATCGCCTCATGAAAGCTGTCATCAACTTTTAATTAACTACTCCATTGTCTTTGTTAAGGCACCAAAAAGCTCAAGATGATGATGATATCCGTTCTGATCTCCGAGTAATAATACTGCTTCAAAATTTTGGCTCTCCTCTACAGGGCACAGTCGTCCACTCGCTGATAACACTCGCCTCGCTCTTTTTCAACCAACATGTCCCTCCCGACCTCCTTGTCGGAGGCCATTGAGGGTTTTCTCTATGGATTTGATATCGCCAAACCGCTTATACCAACATACACCCACTTACTGATCTCGGCTCTATTTTGCATATATGTCGGTGCCCATGCTTCACTTTCAAGGCCTTCGTCCACGGCCATACCACCGAAAAAGAAATGCAAACGCTGTACGGAACACAGTGAAGATGAAGATGATACAGATGACGAAGGGGGCATACTGCAAAAGATGGAAGGATTTGACCCTTCGGATGCGATTATGCTTCCTATAATGTCCGGGTTGACTCTTGGGGGCTTATACCTCCTGCTCAAGCATTTCGACCCAGCAGTTTTGAACAAGGTGCTCAATTGGTACTTCGCACATGCTGGTCTTATATTCACGACTGCGTTTATAAAAGACGGCTTCTCTGTGATAAGATCATTTGTGTTCCCTGAGCTCTATACTTCCCGTGGCTCTGCGTGGAAGGCAAACCAGGAGAAGCGAATATTTATAGAGATTATTAGAGATAAGGGGTCGATGGCGGCCCCTCGAACACGGGTCTCGCCTTTGCCTGGGTTTCTCGGGATTCTTTATCTTCCGGGCTGTCTTCGTGCATCGCTCTGGCACATTCGCGGTCTCGTTTACCAAAAAGCCACCCTCCGTGCCCATATCCGTTCGGTCTTCAGCGCCAGGACTCGGTTTACCATACTTGATGTCTTGAGTGTTGTCGTCGCTCTGTGCGTAGTTGGATACTCCGCCTTTGTCGCGCGGCCATGGTGGCTGATCAATTTCCTGGGATTCGGCTTTTCATACGGCGCCCTCCAGTTCTTGTCGCCTACTACCTTTGCTACCGGAAGCTTGATACTCGGCTCTTTATTCTTTTACGACATCTATTTCGTATTTTATACTCCCATGATGGTCACGGTCGCGCAAAAGCTGGATTTACCGATAAAGCTCCTGTTTCCACGACCGCCCACCAAGGAGGATCCTAGCGCCATTGCCCTGGCGATGCTTGGTTTGGGAGATATTGTGGTCCCAGGCACAGTGATTGGACTAGCATTGAGGTTCGATCTTTACCTACATTATCTACGGAAGCACTCTACCTTGACCGGAACCGGAGCCGATGCTGATTCCCGACCTAAATACGTCACCGCGACGGGCGGATGGGGTGAGCGCTTCTGGTCAAGCATAAAGTCGGCCCTAAGGCTTCCAGATAAGGAATCGTCATATTTTGAGGCAAAGGCATTCCGCAAAACATATTTTAAAGCAGGGATGGCCGGCTATATGCTTGGAATGTTGGCTACGCTGGTAGCAATGCAGTTATCTAATCATCCACAACCTGCATTGCTGTATCTTGTTCCTGGTGTGTTGAGCTCAATTTGGCTTACAGCGCTTGTGAAGGGAGATATTCCGGTTATGTGGAATTTTTCGGATGGTTTGGACGACGAGGAGGGTAAAGATAGCAAGAAGGACAAAAAGGACAATGGACAGGATCGTCCCAAGGCCTCTTTCGCAGGCCTATTTAAGCAACTCATATTTGGCGAACCTAAATCAGAAACGGACAAAGCCAAGTTCAAAGATGGCCAAGGGGAAGGGGAAGGGGAAGCAACCAATAAATGTGCAAAGACCGCAGAGAAGGATAACACTTCCCCGTCTATCGACCTTGTTTCTTTCTCTATTTCTGTACCCCGGAAGAAGACACGCCAAAGTCATTCAGCTAATCTCGATCCCAAAACCTTTACGCAATCCGTGTCTCCGAGGTTTGAATCAAGTGGTATCTCAAGTTCCTCCGCCCTTGTGGAGGACGTCGGTGAAGCTCCACCCAAAAAGCGGAGAACTCAATAATGATACAGTACCTCAATACTATAAGCCACTGACTCTCTGGCTAGATTTCTTTCGTTATAGCATTGCCACTTCGGGGTGGATGTTTTGGGGACAAGATTTAGGGTCCAGCGCTAACTAGGGGAGAAAACTAGAGTTCAAGATTGATATGTTACTTCTAGATACCCAGGCGTCGGGAGCAATGGAATCTGGTTTGGGTTCAATTTATTTTTTTTCCCTTCTTCGGAAAATATCCTAAGATATTTTGATAATGGCGTATTGGCAGCTTGATTTTCTCATCGCAACCCTTCCAATAAGGCGCGCCACTCCTCCCACCTCACAGATGCCAACTCCACAAGTCCTTTTATCTCACTTTTTCCAACGTAGAATCCACCACCTTTTTCCATCATCAAAATCTTCATGCAACCCGGCTTCTTCCCATCCTTATCCACTACAATGCATACCCGTTCCTGACAAAGACTCTCCTCAAAAGCATCAGGATCCGCAAGTATCCATCGTTTCCTTCTTGCAGCATCGCCATCATCGGCACTCGTCTGGTCTTTCTCTTTCGGCTCTCCATCCTGAAGTGGAATGATAACTTTCCTCCAATCTCCAACAGGATCTGCTTCAAAAACAGCAAATGAGCTTGATATAGGCATCCCCCGCAATCGCAACTTTTTGGACTCCGATACACGATCTGAACAAAGAACCATGTCATTATCTATGTCCCACCACGCTTTGGGAAGCCGCACATCTTGTAACGCGGCAACTATCGCCGCCCAGGCTGCATCGAACGGACTTCCCGCATGGGAAATTATTAGAACATCAATGTAGAGGGTCCAAAATGCCTTGAGCTCTGGGGCTCCAATCGAGTCAGTGAAAGCGGGAGTATCCTCCATGTCGATATCCTCAGATTGTTCTTGGGATGGAGCTTCCGTGGGGTTTGGATTGGACCAAATTCGTAAATCACTTGCTCGTATTAGTCGTGAGGAATGAAGGAGGGAAAGGAGTCGGTGTGATAGCGATTGAGCGAGCGACGAAGGTGCAGAACCAGGAAGTATAGACGGCGAGCAGCCCGTGCTAAGAGAGAGATTCGGAACTAAGAGGTTGAATGCATGAATTTCTGAGTCGTCCTCATCATAGTCCTCGTCCTCGGCGTCATGGTCTTGATTCCGCCTTTGTGGCGAACCCCAGCTAGAACCTGCACCATTATTCGAAACCTTCCATGCGGGTATATCATGTGTTGATAAAATCTCCCCACGGACCCCACATACCGCAGTTGTGTCGCCAATCCGAACCACCGCGCTACCATTCGTATGAGACAAAGAGCCAGTGTTGACACTTGCCGGGCGGAATTGGGACTCTGAACGACCATTTATGCGGATGGATGGTCTAGAAATATCAGGTGAAGGGTTTAGATGCGCGTAAACGTAGGTATGCGGTTGGAGCCGGGCGAGGTGGGCGGGTGAAAGCGAAAGAAACGGCGAAGGTGTAGCCGGAGCTTTTGTATTAGGGGCCGTGGATGCCATGATGAAATTAACTAGGGTTACTCTTTGCCAGAAATGCAATAATTGGGAAAGAGATGAATGATTGTTGCGCTGGAGCGCTCCCTTTAGACTTTGTTTCCTCTCATTTCTACCCGATCAACTCTGATATTCAACTGGCAGAATAACTAGAGCTCAAAGCGGTGAATATGAAATTAGCGCAAAGACTAAATGCTTATGTAAGGATATCACGTAATTCACCCCCGAGCGGATCTCCAAAAATACACATACAAATGATAAATCTCAACTTTTTGCTCTCTTATATCTTAACAAGTCTATGTCTGATCATTATAAAATGAAGAAGATACTATATCTATCACCTACCGAGACCCCCTTATACCCATACTCTATACGGAGTACCAAGTAACAAAATGCAATTAAGTGCAGCATTTTATATTCATCTGGTGAGTAGGCTGAATATGACCCATTTTGGTGGCCAGATCCAGCACTTTTCTCACCAATGTTGTCTCCGCGCGAATGCTAATTTACCATCCGCGCACTGCAGGGCCTACCAGCCAAGATAGTTATCGAGTAGCTGGTCAAGGGCACCAATGCTAATCAATTCTTCCGCTAATAACTCCCATTTTTCCTCTTCTTCAGATTGGTCAATTCACCAGGGTGACCGCATCATGACTCCCCTCAACCTATTTTTGAAAGGCAGCTGGAAGACAAATCCGTTTTCCGCTCCATCAACTTGTCCAGTGCTCACCAAACACTCACCCCTTTTGCTTAATTTAAGAATTGAACAAAAAAATGTGAATGGTTTGTTATTTACAAACAGACAAATAAACAGAGGAAGTTAAATCAAGCTCTGGAGTAGTAGGCAATGCCTAGGGAGGAGACCTGGCGTCCAGAAGCCACAATCCTTCAAGCATCAAATCTCAGAACTTCAGTGTCATCATCTTCGTTGTACCTCCTTTCCTGAACAATAACCTTTTTGAGGATTCTTCCTTGGTTTATTCACCTCAATTTCAGTTGATAAACATGCAGACAACCGTTGATGCATACCTCTGAGAACAAAGATTGGAAAGGCTTGTTATGGGTGAGGATTATGATAGCAAGTCCCGTGGCACGTACGATGTGGTGGGATGATGGTTCATTGACTACTAACCGCATTCATGATCTGGGTGCGAAAAGTTGTTTTGTCGCGCAGTTCCATAGATTTCGGCTTATTTGCGATGAAACAGTCGAAAGACTTTCAGAAACTTCGCAATTTGCTCCCCGACAACCTTACAATCCACTATGTATTCCATTCATGACTTGTTAACTCAAGCTCCGCAGCTCATAAATCTCAGTTCTCAAGCCTCCTCTTATCTCGAGGGAGTGAACTGCACACTCATTTGCAAACACCTGAGCACAACGAGATAGAGACTGACGTGTTGTTAGGAATTTATCTGAAAGCTTTGGAGCTAACACTAGTTCGAAATCCTCAAGTCAGTGGGTATTCGATTCATGCTCATTATTCCAGTCTTTTTATTAACTCCTTTCCTCTCTCCTCCTCCCAACCCAAAAAAAAAAAAAAAAAAAAAAAAAAAGGAAAAAAATTCGCCATTGCCCGGGTCCAAACAGCCATAACATCCTCAAAAGAGCAGCGAGGCCATAGAGGAAGAAATGGGATATTTGTGTAATGACCAAGAAAAACATATTTACAAAATACAGGGTATATAGAAAGCAAAACCCGTCCCTGAAATGCACCGAAGGACAAATAAAAGAAAAATATCGAAAATAATAATAATAACGAAATATCCTGGCGTCGCATTGTCTATTAAATAGCATAATTCTCTGCATGCAGGAAGAGCTCGGTTTTATTAGGGTCGTCCATTATCATTCTTTGCAGTCTCGCCACGGTATTCGCAACGTCGACTCTCATACTGGGCGGGCCACAGACGAATACGCAAGACCGTCGTCCGAAGTCTTTCGAATATTGTCGTAGCATAAAGGGAATATCCGGACGACCATATTCCGTCTTCCATCCATCCCGTTTTTGTGTTGGCAAAAATGCGAAGCGCATAAGATTCTTTTGAAGCATAGTTGGTGTGCTAGGGAAACCGAAATTCATGCTGCTGGAACTGGGATCTTGTTCGGGAGGGCGAGAGGCGGGGAAGTTCCAGCCGTATGACTGTTTGGGCGGAATGTACGCAGATGGAAGAGCAGCAATGGTATCTTCATTCTCACGGCGGAGCTCCTTTTCCCGCTCTTCATCACCCGCCGCTTCTTCACGGATATATGCGGAATTTCGCTTGCTGGCAACCCCCTGGAAGACATCGTTTATTTTATCGTGGAACGCTCCGCTGTGAGGTCTCGAACGATTAGGTTGGTGGGTATATCTCGTTGAGCCGGTTAGATAGAAGTGGAAAGAAACTGTCCCTGGAGGTGCATATTCTCGGCAGATACGAAGCTCTTCCTTGAACCATTCCATAGTCTCAGGTCTTTTAAGCGCCCATATCACCCTTACTGTGCGAGTTAATGCTTTCCCATCTCGCATTCTCTTGATCAGGTCCAACAATTGGCTCGCAATGGCAGTAATGCCACTCCCGCCTGCAAAAAATACAACGTGGTCGAATGCCGCCAATTCTCGTCGCATCCCACCATATGGCCCATCGATAAATGCACGATATGTTTTGAAGGGACCTTTTACTAGAGCGGTGTTCAACACTTTGTTCGTGAAGCCGCCAAAAGGCCTAAAAACGAGAGCCATGTCCCGGTACTCCTCCCCATAGCTGGATGGAAACTCATCGCTACATAAAGAAGCAATGGTAAACGGGTGATTCTCAAAGATTGATATACCCGGCATCCGTAAATAAACATATTGTCCTGGCCTCCATCTCATTTGGGTCGGGATGGTAACCTTGACTGCATTTTCAGGGAGGATCGTCACTGCCGACTCTTCTCCAATCAGCCAAGAAAGCCGAAGTGGATTCGTCCAGTTTAAATAGAAGACCCGAATGATATAGGAAGTCGCCCAAATCGCTACCGTCGTGTACAAATAGTGCCAGGACGTTAAAAAGTTGGCGCAATGCCAAAACATCATGCCCACAAAAACCACTGATATCGGAGCGTGCAAGGTCACGAATAGTTCGTACATCCGATTTCGAAAAATAGGCAGGGAATGAAGACAGAGAACGGCGAGCGGAACCAGCGCTGCCAGCCCAGAGCCGTAAATGTAGTAGTCACCCTTGATGAACTGGCGGAATAATTCAAGAGCTCCGTCCTCCCAAACAGGGGTGATGAAAAATGGAATCATATGGACGAGAGCCAAGAACATACAGAGGTATCCAGCCCATCGATGAAGGACATTCAGCCGCTCATGACCTATTCCAGTAAGCATGCTGATCAGGTTGGCCTTCATGCTCAGGGCGATAATCCAAGGCAGCAGCGAGACAGAGAGCATTCCTGCTCTGATTGCCAATGGGGGCGATCCGTCTCGAATACTGTTGTAGAACAGTGGCTGCGGAACAAAACTATACAAGGTGACGAAAATGAAGGCCAACCCGACGATGAATATCGCTCCTAGTGATGGCGGGACAATTTCCAGCTTCCAGAGTCTGATGACAGGTATCGGCCGGTAAAATATCCATCGTACGAACGCAATTGAGTAGTTCAACCACCGCATATTGGCAATGGCGGACTCTCTCTTTGGCGGAGGAGGTAACGCACCATGCACGGGAAAAAAGCTACTGGTTGAGTTGGCCGTAGCTGGTGTGGCCATTTCATGGTCGAGCTCCAGTGATTTATCAAAATTCCGCAATTCTTCTCTGTATAGCGCGGCCCGGATCTTGTCACCCCATATGTGGTATGACCTTATAACAAAGGTAAACACCAATAGCGCAATCGAGAAGTAAACCCATCCCAACGCGTACTTCGAGGCCTGATTGAATGGGTCGTGTCGACTTGCTTCTAATTGACCAGGTGTGGTCATGCTCGTGATCGGAATATCAATCCGCTTCACTATCGAAACCAAAGATCCTTGCGTATCTCTCGAGACCCAACCCGGGGACAAAACCTTCCACCCATTCAAAGGCGACATCATAATCGATATGGGAAAGAATCGGTTTGGTTTCGTAGAACGTTCAGAAAAATACAGGATGCGCGCCTTCTGCCGACTTGACAGGTCGTTATCCGATTATACCATTCGGACGCAAAGCCTTTCCTTCCTATAACTTCTGGTCTTTGTCATACCATGTTTCTGTCTGTTATCGGAGAAAAAGAAGATTTGACACATAAGTAAGACGCTGCTGTAGATGTTGCGAGAACTATCCGGCCTTGCGCATCTTCCACTCACAGCACGCCCGTCGAAGAGGAAAGTTTTGTGCCCACGAACTCTCACTAGTCTGATGTTTCATTGAACCTCGATCCGGATATGCTATCGATAGAGGTGAAGGTATCTTTGGGCTGAGAGCTTCCACTGAGTAATGGGCTGGAAAAATGTGGTGTGCACAGTGTCCAAGGATAGCAAAAAGCGAACGACGTGCACAGTGCACTTGAGGATGGCGAACTCGTACCAAATATGAATCTGCGGACAAATTGGATGTTCAAGGCCGAAGACGAGTCCACTTTACAGCGGAGAACGCAAAATTTAGACCCCGGCTCAATGTTGCACAATCATCGACATGAGCGTACGACCAGGCTTTGGTCTAACCACAGGATCGAATCTTTGGGAATATCAACGGTAAAAAGCACACCGCAAGAAGGCCGCGGAGGGATGGGTGCAGTGGTATTTCACAATATTTAGATGCGCCAGATCAATGGCTAGAGTCGCCAAGAAAATCTGGGGGTGCGCAAAATTGTGACGAGATTGGCGGTGCAGCGAGTGAGAACAGATCTCGGTGGAGACAAAGAAGAAATGGTGCACGTTCCCTTGATAGTGGCTGCGAAAGTCGCGATGAGGAGGTAGCACAGGGCGGCTGTCCAATGTGTCCCAACCGCATGGAGAACTCCGTAGCTCGACGCCAAATACTTACTGCAGAGAGGCAGGCCGCAGGTGGGACGAACTTGAAAAATTTTCTCCCGCCGAGGGATGCTTGCAATTGATGATGAAGCTTTTTGGTGTCCGATAAGCCCCTGAAACCTTCGAAGAGCTCACTCGGGATCCAAGTCCGAGGAAGACATTCCACCCATCGTGTCGACCGAGAGACTTCTGTAAGCAGACACTGGACAGGGAAAAGGATTCCGTTGCTTCGTCGAAGACAAGGAGCCAATGAATGGAGAGCTAGACAGTTGACAGGGTGCAGAGTTGGGGACAGGAACGTGGCGTAAACTAGCCATCCGGCCGCATAAAAGAGGACGGAGCACGGTGCGCGATCCTGCCCCTCATTTCCCCGGCAATCCAGGGAGAGCCGGTCGTCATGTTCCCCAATTTTATCCAGCGTGACGTCGGAATCCCAGGGAATTGAATCGCTAGTGCTCTATTGGCTTGTTTGTCTTGATGCCGACGAAGTACTCGGCTCTGTCTCCGTCAAGAAAGGGTGAGAATTTTTCCACAACCCTTGAATTTTTCTTTCCCCTTACTTACTGAAGGCCCGAGCTTTCTTCAGGAAATATTCTTCATGCACAAGGCTGTTTTCTCTGGGCGAACGGTGCATTTCATGCACCTCGACTGCGGTCGCGTGATGGCTCACATCCTCATCATCATCGGGGATTCGACGGGTACCCTGCCTCTCACCCCGTACGATCCGAGAGTTGATAATGCATTCAACCGAGTGACACCCCAGTTTCCTCGGATTTTGAGCCTGGTCGTGCCGACGCTGCAGCAGCCTGAGTGAACATCACCCATTTCTCATCGGCCATTGGCCACAAGGTGCTCATGAAGAGGGTTGCATCTGACCAGTCAGGCCATGCCGTTTGCCGCCAAGTTCCCCGTCCAATGAAACCCCGCGATCGAACAACTGGCGTGAACACCGAAGATGTTGTGTTGGAGCTGATGTGCAGGATGTGCAGAGTGTGCGATCCCGTGCATTAGCGGCCTAGGATTAAACTTCATTCGGCGTCTCCCGCCAGCCCCAACCTGGTCGAACCACCAGCTGGAGCATCCAATCCCCCGATGATTCTTGGGAATTTTGCATTTTCAGGAAGGCGATGGAGAAAGATTTATCACTGGCACGAAGCTGGAATGCTGTGCCGATTTCGAGTTATTGGACCTGAAGTGTGAAAGAGGACAAAGGAAGTTAACTCAGAACCCCGAAGAACGTTGAAAATATGATTCCAAAACACGGCGAATTCAGACTCCACCTTGTCTCTCTAAACGCGTGATAGAGTATGGGTTGCTTTGGTGCCAAACCGCATTAAATAATGAAAGTCATTGACTTGGAAGAAGTTAATATTTGTAGCTATTGACCGGCGAGCATATCAGAATGATGACCACATCTCACCCACCCAGTATAATATAACTTGAACTCGGAAACACGGAAAATACAAACAAGCAAAAGAAAAGTGGTCATAACTAAATTTGCTGTAAAATTTCTTTGGTTCTTTTGCGGTAAGAAACCTCTGGGTCCATAACACCAAAGCGCCAGTTCTCATATGTCACTAGCAAAGCGAAAACCTTCCTCGCATGCAGTGAAATCGGAAACAAAGACATGAAAATCACAAGTCCATGAAGTCGGTTCTTACCCACGCGTTTTTCAAACACCTGAAATGCCCATTTCCAAGTAATAGAAAGTTGTACCATCATTGAGAGAGAGAGACAAACAATCTCCTACACCCCATAACTCCAATCCAATGCCAACATGATCCACCAGAGAAATGAAGTTTATGTATGAGACATGTCGCAGTTAGGTGTATGGAAAGTCCTTGGCCAGCAACGACAATAGACTGCGGCCAAATGACAGAACCGCTGCATATCAACATTACCAAACAAAGGTCGCAATGTAAAAAGATCACTTCTTCAATTTATTTTGGATCCCGATCCTTGCTGGGTTTGTTAAGCTTCGTCTTGGCGATGGGTTTGGAGAGATTGGCAGCAGGCGGTGATCCCGGAGACACCATATCAAGTGTTGTTCCGTTTTTCAATTTGCTAGGAACCGCAGGCTTCCCGGTTTTGAACTTGACCTGCATTGAGATGTCCTTCCGCTTTTTGGCAGGTGCTAGCTCTTCTTCGTCGGGACGAGCCCGTTTGCGAGCTGTTGGTGCTGAGGCCGCCGGAGTACTGATGCCGCTGTCGAAAGGGGTTCGATTACGGCTGGATTGTCTCGTCGTTATTCCTAAACATCTGTCCAAATGCTGGGCACTTTTTGTCACGAGGAAGTATCGTGGGCAGTTTGGACACTTCGTTGTCGGCATGAACATCTTATCGGGCAGCTGTTTGAGGGAACTCGGAGCTGGAGCTGATTCGACGTTTGATGGGGGACTAGACGTCGGGGTGCTGCCGTCCGGACCTTGGGTCTTCTTCTTCTTGTTGGTGGCTTTTTCGATGGCAAATGGATTTCCGTGAACATCACGACCAGGCATACGTATTGGCGGGTGTTTCCTGCAGTACTCTTTATTTGGATCTGGTGGCGGACGCGCGCCTTCTCCAAATAGCGGATATAGCAGTCGGGGCAGATGACAGTTTGGGCAAAGAATTTCTTTCGTGGTGACCAGAGGGTTGCCCTTCAAGTATACTCTGCCTCCATCATACACGGCTGCGTCCGTCTCTACCTTGATGGAGTTCAAGGAGCCGTTGACCGCTGCCGCGGTTTGTTGGTTTTCCGCTCCATCGTCTGAGGGAGGAGCAGACTCCTTCTCAGCGAGCTGTCTTACTCCGATTACAGCTGACGTGGCTCGGGCTACCTTCTCCTCACGGTGGACTTTCGCGACGATATCGTGAATGATATTGTAGAAGGTCTCGTCGAGTATGTCTCGGGTCTGAGAACTAAATTAGATTATGTAGATCGAAATAGACGTCCTGGAGACACTTACAATTGTTGCCAACGTTTCGGACTGATCTTTGGGGGGACCACCGGCCTTTTGCACCTCCGTACCAGCCATATTGCAACAGAATAATTGCTCTGCAAGTCGCGAGTAAACTTCTTCGACGATTGCGAATACTTTATCCGTAGTTGTAACAGAAAGACAAGAACAACGTGCGGAAAGATCGCTGCTGAACGCAAACGAGGAGCTGGGAGTTTGTGCTAGTTTTGATCGCGCACCGCTTCAGGTGATTGCATTAAGCAAACATAATTTGTGTCTATAAATCGAGACGAACAGAAGCTTGAGATCGAAAGGATGGACTATCGGACAAGAGAGGCGGTCGACGCGCGCGAATCGTGGGAGATGGAGGTTCTGGGAAGATGGGCGCGATGCGCGCTAGAAGAGATGGGTAGAATGTATTAGAAGTGAGAAACAATTGGAGGCGATTTCGGGCTGGAGCAGTGTTCTTTGTGGTGACTGTGCATGAACACAATTGCTCCATCGACGTCAGCAGCGACTCACTCGCGAGGAGCGTTGGGAGAACTCTGGACACGCCCGAATTTACACGGGGTTAATGACAAACAACGTACCTTTGATGAACTTGGCCAGCACCTGCGCACCAGGCCAAGTAGACGCTGCTCTCAGATCACACAGGTGCCTCTCTTTCTCTCCGGCTGGAGCAGCGAAGGTCCAGATGCCGTCGCCGTTGGAGGAGAAGGGCTGGTTGTTCAACCACACAAGTGACGTGATCTTATCTTATCGATCTCCGCAATCTCCAACTTTAAAACCGCCCGTGATGCGATGACATGATCACGCCCAAGGCACCGCGCCCGGCGGCATCGGCAGACAAAAGAGGACACTCCGCTCATAGCCTTCGTTAAATACACGGTAGAATTTTGATTTCCGTGGTTACCATGCCTCTCCAGACCTGCTATAGCAACTGATCCAAACCGTGAACATGGCACCCCATTTTTTCGCGTCCGCTGGCTCCCCTTCGCCCCTCCCCCTTCCTTCAACCATGCCCTCTCGTAACAACAACAGCCACTCCAACACGCTCTCCGCGTACTTCTCACCTCTCAGACCTCCCCCTATTCCCTCGCCGCAGCAGCAGCAGCAGCAGCCGCCCCTTCCACCCCCTCCGCGCCCATCAACGACTCCCAAGTCAGTCTCCTCGATGCGTCCCAGTCCCGCTTTACAGCTCACACCCTACCCTGGCGTCCCGCAGTCCTGCCCCACCCCACATCCACAAGTCACCATAGATCCTGTGAAAACAGCACATATCCCCTCGTTGATGCGCATAACCGGTCTGCTGCTCCCCATACGGTACCCCACATCCTTCTACTCAGCGACAATCACCGATCCACTGGTCGCGAGCGTGTCCAGGGTCGCGGTACATCACGACCACCCCGTCACGGGGCTAGATCTAGGAAGAAATGCATTTGCGGGGGATGCTCCGGTGCCGAGTCATGCGGAGAAGGTCATTGGCGGGATACGGTGTCTTCTAGAGCCTTTAGGACGTGATACCGTCGATGGGCGGCCAGCTACGAATCTATATATTCAGACGCTCCACTTGCTCTCCCCGTATCGTGGAAAGGGCGTTGCAGCGTCGTTGCTGTATTCTTTGGTTTATAATGACTCTCTCGATGTTGGGCGGCCGCCTCTATCTACCACATCCTCACTACCCGTGTCTGCCTTAGTCAGACACTATAATATCCGAACAGTGACAGCTCACGTACACGAAACTAATGAGGAAGCCTTGCGATGGTATCTTGCGCGTGGGTTCAAGGTCCAAGGGAGTATCGTGGAAGGTTATTACCGGAGACTGAAGCCCGGAGGAGCGAGGATCGTCAAGCTGGAGTTGAATTGGGATGGAAAAGAGGAAAGCTTGCAAAACTCCCCCTCGAGCGATGTACAGAGGAGCATAGGAGGCAGCAGTAATATGGAGCTAGAAGACGACGATGACGAGTGGGAGAAGGTGAATCCGTCAGAGTTCTCAACCCTGGAGAGGCTTGAGGACTACCAGCAGGTTGAGAGAGACTGTGACGTTGAGGAGAGTCCCAGCAAGAGAATAAAGAACGCATGATGAAATGATTCATCACCTTCTGGATTTCCATGTGTTTGATTGTGAATTAAACCAAGATACCCAACACTTGCTAGAAATACATCGTGCATTCATGATGGCATGAAACAGAAACAAGTATTGCAATCACATCTGTCCTCTAAATGTACATATACTAAAAAACCATAACAAGTATATACCGGCATGAAATATCACTGACATATCAGAAACCGTTGGATGAAGTGAAGTTGTCGTAAGCCGAAGAAAAATATTTGGAATCAACCGCCTCACCGGTTTATATTGTACCGAACCCGTTCTTGGAGTCAATCAACCGATATCTTGCGCGCTCCTTCCGGTCTTTGAGGACCATTGCAACACAGAGAAGTAGAAGAGCATCGATAGCTAAAAGACGAGAACAATCAGCATCCACAGATCTCTGAAACACATCATCCTGCGACATGGAAGTCTTCATACCAACTATGCCAAAGTCCGCAGTGAAAATCACATCCAGAAAACTGTTCGCAAAATTGGAAAACGGGCCAACACATCCTGGTTTTTGTGCCGCATCGAGATCGGTCGGACACGTTTTATCGACCTGAAATGGCGGCGAGGTGCTGTTCAAGTAGCCGCAACAATTAAACTAATTTACCTCTCTTTAGTTCTCGAAGAAGAAAAACCAGCAAGAAAGGTGTATTTCTGAGGAAGAACGATCGACATACTCGTTGTTGCAATAAGCTCTGCACCTCTGGTGTCTCATTTCCCCACGCATCGCTCAATGTTGACCTTGTCCTTAACGTCAAAAACCAGATGATCAATCCTATGATCAGTGTGATGAATCCGCTTATCACAACCATCCAGCCGTGGATTTTCATCCATATCCGATCATTTGATTGAATAATGGCTGGGATCGAAAGGAGGAACGTGAAGAAGACGAATCCGGCATTGATAATCTCTCCTGTAAATGTAAATAGAACCGTCAGCAACCACTTGGGAAGTAAAGAAGACCACACTGCAAAATGTGCTAGTTTGGATCGCCGCACCTAGCTGGGGACAGTGAGCAAGCAGCAATCTCTCTGCGACATTATCCAGCGTCGGCGCAGATCGAATCTTATCTCTGGCCGTCAAGGCAACGGTGAGAATTAAGGCGCCGCCTCCCAAAAAGAGGACGTCTGCAACCAGGTAAGTGAGGAGCAGTTTGTCCCGCATCTTTTATCAATTCAGCGGTATGTCACGCCAGATGACCTTTTGGTCTGCTCCCTCTCTCGTCTGGCAAGAAGCGAACAAGCTATGGACACGAAAGCAACTGACGACCAGCGTCGATAGACTTGCAAACAAAATAAAGGAATTAAATTAAAATCTGCAAGCGCCAATGAACGAGAGTGCCGGGCTGGCTGTACTATTTTACAGCTCTTCTTTCGCTCACGCTCAATGCATCTCGACGTGCAGTACAAGGACACTGAGGAGGGGCGGGAGAATTAGCGATCAAAGGTATCAACGACGAAACATGATTAGAAATATCTGAGCAATATTCCATCTTCATATGTACCGGAAAATGTCACACGGGGGCATGTCCCTTGCACTGAAGAGTCAAGGATGATGCAGAGGTGCGACCAGTCAGGTCTCAGAGCAGCCCTGGCGCCCAGCGACAGACGGCGGCAAACAGCACCAGGGGCATAACGACAGACGATACATTCATATTTACATAAAAAGCCCTGGTCAGCACGCCGCTGCACATTGCAAGGTCCAGTGACATTATTTCGATGCCACTGGTAAAAATTCTCATTGGACCCGGGACAGCTGGATCCAGGCATCAAGAGCTCCAGAGTGAAGTTCCAGCCCAGCTTCGTGAGAGTTGAAGGGAGAGCGGAGCCAGACAGCTAAAAATAGGAGGGGGCGATGCTGTGCCAAGACGGGCCCGGCGCTTCAAGGGCTGTTTGGGCTCAACGCATTTCTCACAACTCTACTCCGTACTCCGTACTCCGTGCAGAGTAAAGCTTGAGAACTCTTTGCAGATCGCGACCACGCAAAAAAAGTAGTTTGTTCCTCCGTACTGGGGAGCATTCGAGTCAATTCTTCGATCAACCTATATATTTCATATCTACCTCTCAATATGAACAAATAAAGTATAACACTATATACAAGTAATGAACCACGTCAGGAGAATTACTAAAGACTTGAAAACGACGTCCTGACACCAGCGTCCGAGCTTAGACCCAGTAGCTCCAGTGACCACCATACTCTGGCTCTCTCTTGTCATGGGGATGGCGCCCCTTGTAGACATTGGCCACTTGTGGACCCTCGGCCTCCTTGATATATCCGAGTTCACAAGAGCTGAAGCTGACCTTCGGCTGCTTCTCATAGAAATCGTCGTATCTGTGGTGGAGGGCATCCTTTAAGCTGGAGACATTGCCCTCGGGGTGGAGAGACTTCCATGGCTCAACACATTCATTGCCCTTGCAAGATTTGATGACCATCATGAGAGCATCAAGTCTGTTCACAATCTGCTCGTAGGGACGGCCGCGGATCTTGTGCTTGCTTGCAAGAATAGGGTCGGCAGCGAGATTCTTGATCTGGCCTGGGTCGGTCTAATAATGAGAAGTACAGCCGTCAGCGTTCTGTCGGAAGTATTGATCCGACCATTTCACTTGAAAAGTACTTACAGAAACATCATAGTACTCCTTTTCATTTGAGCACCACACAGAGTAGTAGAGGCTGTAGTCATTTCCGACCAAACGGATGCCCTTATATGTGTTGTTCCCGTAGTTACCGTCGGGTAACTTGAACTCATTTTGATAGAAAGGGTCGTAGATGCCCTCTGTGCGGCCAACACCCCAGAATTCTACAGCTGCATGTTCGGTCTTGCGAGGTTTCCCGTGGGTCTTGGTAAATGAGATTGGCACTCCGTCCAATCCCTCGCGCTTTTGACCGGCAAGAGCCAAGAAAGTTGGTGCCATGTCGGTGTGGGAAGAAACATCGTCGTTGGTAGCGCCCTTGGCGACGCCGGGACCTCGGACTACCATTGGAATGCGAATATCTGTGTCGAAACCGCAAGTCTTGCCTGGGGGAAGACGATGTTGACTGATATGGAAACCATTATCGGTGGTATAGATGAAATAGGTGTTGTCCAAAAGATCGTTCTCCGCAAGTTTCTCAACCATGGAGTCGATCATCTCGTCCACAGACTGCAGAGCTCGAAGGCGGCAGCGTTGATACTCGTCGTGGTATTCAATTTGTGTCTGATTCAAGCGAGGCATAGAAGCGACCCAGCCCACTCCACTAGGCTATAAACCAACTATACGTTAGCGTTTGCGCTTGCCAGAGGTCAAATTGAAGGACGATTGAGTGAACTCACATCTTTTGGATTGAAGTTGGAAGTTCTTGGAATCTTGTAGTCCTTGAAGAGGTGCGCATGTCGAGCAGGGTATTCAGGCTTGTCGAACCAAAGCGGTGGGGGTTTGACTTGACCGTGGGGAGAGACGGGGGCAGCAACCAAGAAGAATGGCTTATCTTCCTTCATAGCATCATCCATAAAGCCCAATACCTTTTCGGCAACGACATCAGACGAATACTGGCCAGCATAGCTCACTGGGGCAGCTCCGTTGCGGCTCATCTTCGCACCCCAGTAATCGTACGTGGTTGGATCCAGGAGGAAATCAGAGCCAGTCCAGCCCGCCGCCACGGGCTCGTTGTAGTTCACAATGGTATGAGCGTTCATCAACTTGCCGACGTAATAGGTATTATAGCCTGCTTCCTGCATCCATACGGGAAGATAGTTGTCGTTGTAACCATTGGCAATGAATTTGGGATATCCTCCTGCAGGATGGTCAGCATCGTGTTCTTACGTAGATGTAAATCAGAATTTAAAAAGAACCATACCCCATGGCGGCGCGACGTCAGTGACGTTGGTGTTGTGGGGAGCCTTTCCTGTCAACAGGTTGACTCGCGACGGGCAGCAGAGAGCAATGGTGCAGAAGTGGTTGCTAAACGAGGTTCCTTCCTTCACGAGGTGCTTCTGCAGATATGGCATATGCTCCAGCGTGTCCATATGCAAGTCCTGATCATCAGTGATGACAAAGACAATATTAGGCTGCTTGGGCACTGGCTTCGTGGCAGTGGCGCTGAGCGCCAGGCCCAGCGTCACAAGGTACTTTGTGAGCACGGAACCGCCCATCTTTAGAATGTTTGCCTCCGGCTTTGTGCAACTGATGGTTGAAAGATGAATTCCAAGACAACTCCAAAAAATGGGTGCATTGCAAGGTCTTTATACCATTCCCCTGGAGCCATGTTGATAATGGCAGTTCGCTTCCCCACGAAATACCCCAGATCCAAGCCGTGGAAAGCTCCCCAGGTTTTCGACGGCCGATGGGCATCGAGGACAAAGCCAATTGAGATCTCGAGTCTTCGCTGGAGCTCTCCACGATGGGGAAAAGACAATAGCCGTGCTGTTGACAAAAGCATTCTATCATGCTGTCAGAACCTAGTTTTTGCACCTAGAGAGCCGGAAGAATATACAGCCAGAGGCGTTATGCGGGGAGCAACTATAAATTGCGGGACGCCAAACCTAAACAGCCTAAAATCCGTTGCCTCTTGCGCAATTAGTTTTAATATGCAGTTGGTTAACTTTTAGAAACCTCACGCTGGGAAGAGGAAAGCATATCACCAGACGAACACAAACAGGACAAAAGATATTATCCGGGAATCATGTCAGGACGAAATTGCTAGCGCAGTTCGGCCGACATAGACACATTGTTCTCGAAAAATGAAGATACGGTCACCCGCATCACACGGAAAGGTCTGGTCCCCATTGCCACGGCGCTCGAAGCTGCTGGGTTCCGCGGCTTTTCGCCCTTCAGGGACTTAAACACGGCCGGAAGAAAGACGGAACATCTCACTCTATTGACACGTTGTGGCCATGAACACTGTCCTTCCTATGGTAACCACTCCGGGTTTGCAGCTCGCAGCGCAACGTATTCTGAGTGGTGCTCGGTGAAACGCCGGGTTTCTCTATCACAAATTTTTGCGAGAAGGAAGACAACGCACTAGCATACTCCATAGAGACGGTGCCTGATAGAGTTATCGAAACCCCCACCCTCTCGCTTGAAATTTGGATGAGTTCCGCACCCTGGAGAATGAGCTTCAATTGTACAAAAACAGTTAGTGGTTGCTCTCAGGAACAAAGATGGAAGTGATTCTGCGGCAACCATTGATGTGCCTTGCAAGCCACCAATACAAAGCTTACAACCCCCCTTTAGGAGTCAATGGAGTAGGTGATTAGGTAGCATGTGTAGAGATGAACCGAAGAAATGGAGAAAGATATTGATACTCGGCTGGCATGTGGAGAACATGGTCCCTTCACGAGTTAGGTAGTGGGGAAACGGGTTAAAATGTGAGTTGAGTTTCGGTTGCCACCGGAGCATGGCAAGCGATGCAGCTAAATTGGCCACAGTTTGTTGAAAAATATTCTTCCGCCTGCATTCGATTTCCAAGTCTGTGAAAGTTGTGTGGATCGAAGGACGGCGAGGACCGTGGAGCGTGGCTGTTCAAGGGTTAAGTTTCCTCTTAAATGGAGCTTAGAAAAAGCTTCTCTTTTTCCCCCCACAAACTACTTACTATGTAGCTAACCCTGGAGACATGGGACGACACAGCTGATTGCGGCAGCCTATAGGCCCAATCCACCAAAGTCGTAATCCTCGGGGTTTCAGCGGGCACGCGTGCCCCTGCATTCCCTCGTGGTCGGGGCAGCATTAGTTCGGGCGGTCGGTCAAAGGCCCCGTGAATATGTCGCCCTCCAGGGCGTCTTATAGCCCGGGGTGCAATTCGGCTTGCATCTTGAAACTCAGACCAAGGAGTCCACCGTCCACGCGAGCGTTCGGGTGTCAAACCCGTGCGCGCAGTGAAAGCAAATGGAGGTGGGACCCCCTCATGGGCATACCATCAACCAATCCTGATGTCTCCAGCTGGATATGAGCAAGAGCGTGGCTGTTGGGACTGGAAAGATGGTGAACTATGCCTGAATAGGGCGAAGCCAGATGAAAACTCTGGTGGAGGCTCGCAGCAGTTCTGATGTACCAATCGATTGGGTACAACTTAGTACAGCCTACTCCGTAGTTAACTATGATAACTAACTAGTAGCGTCCAATCATAGCAAGTTCATCGCGGGGACAAAGAAGTACGCGCCCTACACCGACACCTAAGGTGGCTCACCACTCAACAAGCCAAACCACTCAATAAGCCAAATTCCTTCCAATGCTCCACACTACAAATTTATTAATTATCTCAACAACAAATTATTATTATTAAACTAGCTATTAAATATTAAATGAGTGTATTCTTTAAAGCATAGAAATTAGTGTGGCTATGAAAATAAATGTGTGGACAGTCTGATATTGCAGCCAGAGTGAGAGATACAAATAGTAGATAGAAAAGATTGTAAAGAAATATCAGCAGTAGATTTCTCAACTAGAGAGTCTAAAGACTTGTTAGAGAGGCTTGTAGAGCTCTTACTACTGCTTTGAAAAGATTATATAGACTTGCTGCAATGAGATTCTTTTATAGAAAGGCCCTGCTAACAGTACTTTAAAGCTGGCACTTGAAGCTCTGACTGCTAGTATTTACTAGTATATTTAACAAAGGTGGCTCACCATGTGAGGATTGTACATGTGGATCAGCGTGACAATGAATCTCTAGGAGGAATATACATGGAAAAAGAGTATGTGAGGTAAAAGATCTGTATTCTGGCAACTATATACAACTTGTAAACAAGATTGCCACTGACTTCCAGCAAGAGATTTGTGCAGTGATGATCTTTTATGTGTGCTTGTAAGCATGTGACTTAGTATCTTATAAGAACACATGCAGCTTTCAGCAGCTTGCAAGCTGAGATCTCTGACTCTTGTGAATGCTGTTTGTTTATGTAAGAGATTTGTGACAAATTCTTACAGATTTCTCTTTCTTATAAGTCTTGATCTCTCAAGACAGCTGTCTTATTAAAAATCTTCATGAGTAGAAAAACAAAAAATCTCTTGGAAAAAATAAAAATTTTCTTATAAGAAAAAAAGTACAGTCTTACTAGAGATGTGATATTAATACAACTCTAATAATACAACAAAATCTAATAACAAAACAATATATAGAGAGTCTCTATTGTTCTTACTAGCTCTGTGTTATTATTAGATAATAAATACTAGCTTAAGAGAGAGTTTTCTCTTGCTTTCTCTTTCTCTTCTTTTCTTCTCTTTCTTCTCTAGTCTATATCACCATTATCAAGATAAGTTTAACTCTTCAAGCACTGCTTTGTGTGGGAGTAGAGCAGTATCTGGTTCCAGGATTTCCTGTCCCAGTCCCAGATTCCCATCCTAATTCCTGTCCCAAGGACAGGATCAGGTTGAAGCTCAGCTTAATGGAATGGAACTGGGTTGTTTAACAGCATATTGGAACAGTTCTGTGGGAACTGGGATTAGAATGGGATTGGAACTGGGATCAAAATCTAGCTAGTAGAACAGGTTCAGAATCTGACATGATAAAATAAAATAGAACCAGGATTTCAATATTGTATATAGAACAGAATCAGTAAAGTGTAGAATAAAATCAGAAACTCTAATCTTATTTGTGTTGTTAAAAAATAATAAAATTTAGTAACAGTTCTAATATAATTTTATTAATTTATTCAACTTTGGAAAAGTACTGAAATTTGATAATGCTCTTTGTATAATTAAATCATATTGCAAGCTATTAGCTACTTGAGTTTATTTATTAATAATATTGATGTATTTTCTGTTTCTCATCTGAATTAAGTAATAAATTTAGCAGGCTTGCAATCTCTTCTTATATAATCTCTGAAGTATCTTGATTATCTTGATTATCTTGAATAACTTTCTTGACTAACTTCTCATGCAATATAAGTACTTCATCTAGCATATATATCTTATCTTTATGTTTAAGTAGCATGATCTTCTTGATTGTAGATGTATGGAGCTATAATTATTAATAATAATATGTATCTCAAGTAACATTGAAAATCTGTTCTATCTTAATCTCTGTTAAAGATATAGCCAGAATGTTTCTTGCTATCCAAGCAACAGTTAAAAAATCAGACTCTAGCATTCTCCACTATTTCAGAATTAGAGCTTGAGATAATGTCAAATTTTCATTATTTAAATATCACTTTATTTTATTTTGGAAATTTGCTCATCTTTAATAAGATCTCTCAAAAATTATTTACTCAATATTCTAGAGAAGTTAGTAGAGAAGAAATCAGAATAATACTTATAATAAATATATATTATTTACATTAAGTATTACTTCTCTTGACTGTTTATATTTCTCATAATGCTTTTTGTAAAATCTCAAAATATATTATTGGTATATTTCACACTCATTACTGGTCCAATTCTCTGAATCATATACTCTCATATGATGTAATGAATGAAAAGCAGCAGCTACAGCTAGCAGCTTACTTTTTGAATACTCAGTATCACTATAGTATTTCTGAAATTTCAAGTTAGCAGCTTTGATAGCTTCTTGAATATTTTCTCTTGTTGTTAACTGTTGAATCTTGTTCTTCTCTCTTTCTAAATACTGGAAAAGATGATTGTACATTGTCTATATTAGATAAATTATTAGGCCTGTTGTTTTAGACAGTATCTTGATAAATCAACTGAATGACTGCAACAGTTCAATTATATACTCTAGCTGCTTTCAGTTATAGTTCAATAAGTAAAGTCTTTGATATTTTGATGATGAGTTCTGGATTCATAAGTTTACAGCTTGTCAAAGCAACAAGACATAAACACACATCTTATAGATGAAATTTCATCTTGTGTGAACATCTTGAATTATCTTGTGCTGGTTCTCTTGTTGATATTCTTGAAAATATGTAGTGAGTTGAGAGAAGATATTAGTTACATTAACAACAAGATAAATCTATTATCAAGCAAAGATTAGTAAATCAACTCAAGTATATCAAGATCATTATCAAATTTTATTATCTTTCTAAAAGTATTTGCAAATATGTCTGTTGATGCTAGATCATCAGTAATTAAGCACTTATTAAAGATAGTAGATAGAGGATTATTATCTGACTGAATCTTGAGATTACAAACCAGCTCTTAAACTACAAGTTAAATTATATAAGCAAGATAGAATATTATTCCACTCTCTGCATTCTAATTAATTATCTTGTTCAACTGCTGCAATGCTGGCCTTAACTAATATATAAGATGTGCTTGCATAGTATTATTATTTGATGTATTATTACTTGTAATTATAAGAAGATTACTCTCAAGTCTTTATACTGCTAGTAATTATTAAAGAATCTCTGCTATATTCTTGCCAGTATAAGCACTCTCTAAACTTTCAAAACTCAGTAAATACTTATGGTACTTCTAATTTTTTGTAATATAATAATTGTTAATTGCCATAAAGGCAAGGTTATTGAGACTTATCCAATTATTCACTGCCAGAGATATCTTGATTATTAAGTTATGGTTAAAGAGAAGATTTCAGAATAACTAATTGTACATATTATTTATAATCTGATATAATATTTCTTGTGTGGGTATCTGTAAAGTCATTGCAGAGTTGAGCATGGTTATTAATATATAGAATGCTGAATTCTCAATAATATAAAATAAGAGATTCAAGAATATTAATATTTGCACAAGCTGCTGGAGAAAATTATCTTGATTACATTCAGAAACAGACAGATCTGAATCTGTTTGAGAATACTTTAGAAACTGTTGCTAAGATACTAGAACTATTACTAAAATTTATTACATTTGGAAAATTAGAATTCATAATCTATTATTATATTAATCAGAGTGTTACTCTGTCTGTCATCAGTTTTTGTACAATTTTTACTTATTAAATGCTTCTTCAGATTACTTATACTGTTTTGAGAAAAGCTTAAATAACTAAGAAAGATTTAGTAATGCTTGTAAATTATTTCTGAAGTACTCTTAGAATGCTCTGCCATCTGATCAAATTTTGATCAAAAATCAGAATAGCATTGCTTTATCTTTCAGTTAGAATCATCATGCTTCTTATTATTAATTAACTGAGCAGCTTTAGTAGTTAATTATCAAGTAACAAATAACTTATAATGCAGCTTCTTCCACAATATAAATTATTTTTTTTCATGTTAAACTATAGTTAATTCTGAAGAAATCTCTGTAGATTTTGCTTGTTTACTGGCTTCAGCTATTAGATTTTTCTTTTTTTTTTTTTTTTTTTAACAATCAAATTAATTTTTCTTTAAGTTCTGCCTTAGTTAAAAAAGTAACAAAATGTGGTTAGAGCCTACATAAAATTTGATAATCTCTAGATAGTTAGTCTTATTTTACTCTGTAAGTACAGCAACCAACTACAAAATCTTCTTCTTCTACAAAATGAAACATTCTTCTTCAGAAAAATAAAATATTTTGTCAATTTAATAGCACCCCATTCTCAAATTAATATAAAAAAAGAACTAAAAACCTAACTTTCTTCTCTAGATATTAATAATCCAATCATTCTCCATCTTATTGTTCTTCTTATTATTCTCATCAGAGAACACTATAATCTCAAAATCATCTTTCTTCATCTTCTCTGGAGCAGGTGAACTGTTATTATCTTCACTCAGATTCTGTAATTAGCTCAGAAACCCCCTCATCTTCTTCTTAATTCTCTCTCTTAATACACCAATTACAGTAAGATAATCATAATCATAAGTCATGATCTTAGTCTCAAGCCTGGCTATTATTTGGCAAAATTGAGTCTCTCTATATACAGCAATAGAATGCTGCACCTGACTTGTTTTAGTTTAAATATGTTAGAACTATTATTAAATTTTATT